GGCATAATGACATCAATAAGTGCTTGTACACTCACTTGAGATCGGCCCTCTGTGATGCCTGGCCACCCACAAAGAAAGAGCGTAGTGATGCTCGTGCCCTCCGGGGCTGAGAGGTGAAATGAACACCACACCGTAGCACACCATACCCCACCCCACCCCACCCCACCCCACCCCACCCCACCTCACCCCACCCCACTACACCACACCAGACCACTCACTTGAGATCAGCCTCTGTGATGCGGGAATCCACCCCTCCCACAAAGAGCGTCTTAATAGTCGTGTCTTCTGGTGCTTCCAGTGACGTCATCTCCGCTGCCAGCCGCATCATCTTCTTTGCCACGGGGTCGTTCACACTGCATATAGGAAACGAGGGGAGGGGGGAGGAAGGGGAGAGCAGGCAGAGGGGGGAAAAGGCAAGTGAGCAAGTGACGGAATCTCCGCTGCCAGCCGCATCATCTTCTTTGCCACTGGGTCGTTCACGCTGCATGGAGGGAGGGGGAGGGGGAGGGAAAGGCGGGGAGCATGGGCGAACGAGCAAGCCACAGCAGCTCTGTTGCCAGCCGCATCATTTTCTTTGCCACTGGGTCGTTCACACTGCAATGACAAGGGGAGAGAGGCCGAAGGGGGGGGGGAAGGGGGGGTGGGGAGCATGGGCAGGTGAGTCAGTGACGGCATCTCCGTTGCCAGTCGCATCATCTTCTTTGCCACCAGGTCGTTCACGCTGCAAGCGGGAAACGATAGGAGGAGGGGGGGGAGAGTGGGGAGGGAGAGGAGAGGGAACGATGGGCAAACAACCAAGCCACAGCATCTCCGCTGCCAGTCGCATCATCTTCTTCCCCACTAGGTCGTTTTCACTGCACGCGGGGAACAAAATGGGGCGGAGTGGGGAGGGACAGGGAGATGGATGTGGGGCGAAGGGAGGGCGTCATAAAAAAAGGATAGATGTGCTGTGCTCTTTGCTCCCAACCCACCCCGTCCCCTCTTCCACCCCAGAACCACAGGGCCCCACCGCATTACACCACACAGCACCCCTCTCCACCACAGCGCAATCACCACAGCACTCTGCCCCGTGCGTGCACCCCCCAACCCCCTTGCATTCCAGAACCACAGTGCACCACCAGACTACACCGCACAACACCCCCCATCACCATTCACTCCCCCACGCACGTACCCATAGTAACGGTCTTTGAAGTTCTGATGCGCCAGCTCCCCCGTGATGGGCATCTCGTGGCGGTAGGGGCACTCCGCCCCGCACGTGCACTCCCGTCCCCTCCCCCCCCCGCCCTTGCAGGCCGCAGTGCACCACACTACACCACACAACACCCCTCACCTCCAACCCTGTTCCCCACGTACCCATAGTAACGGTCTTTGAAGTTCTGGTGCGCCAGTTCCCCCGTGATGGGCATCTCATGGCGGTACGGGCACTCCGCCCCGCGCGTGCACTCCCCGCGCACGAAGAAGGAGCAGATGTGAGCGCGGTTGCGCTTGTAGTACGGCGTCGTCCGCTGCAGCTTCAACAGCAGGTCGTTCGGCGCAGCTTTGCCGAATGACGATTCATAATCCAGACCTGCACGAGCCTGGAACAGCAGGGAAAGATGGGGGGGGGGGAAGGGGAGGGGAGGGAGGCGAGGGGGGAGGGGGCGAATGGGGGAGGGGAGTGAAAGGGGAGGTAAAAAGGGAAAAATCATTACACATCGCGAAGAGCCAGGGGGAGAGTTTCAGAGAGGTGTGTTGGGGTTTAGGGGGAGGAGAGAGGGGGGGTTTGGGTAAAGAGCAAGAACAACCACGGGTTCCACGGATTCCAGCCGCCATAGCAGCGGCGGCAGCGGCCAGAGCAGCAACTGGAGCAGCAGCGAGAGAGCAGATGGGTCGCGGTTACCTTGCGCTCGTGCGCTTGTGCGCCGCTCACCTTCCAGTCGTGCTCCTCGGCAAAGTACTCGCGGTTGACGTCGCTCTGCGGGATGGCGGGAGTGACCGTTGAGTCGACCCAACAGCCAGCAGGTTACCTTACAGTCATCATCAGTGCGCCTCTCACCTTCCTGTCGTGCTCCTCCGCGAAGTACTCGCGGTTGACGTCGCTCTGCGGGATAGCGTCCGTGGTGTTGATGTTCAGCGCAGTATCCCGCACCTGCACCGGCAGGCCGTACTCGAGATCCAGCATGCACACCTGGTAAGCGGGGATGGGGAACGGGGGGAAGGGTGAGCAGGAGTGGGGATGCGGGATGGCGTCCGTGGTGTTGATGTTGAGCGCCGTGTCGCGCACCTGCACGGGCAGGCCGTACTCCAGATCCAGCATGCACACCTGGTGAGAAGGAATGGAGAGGGGAGAAAGATGAGCAAGGAGGGGGGTGCTCTGCGGGATGGCGTCGGTGGTGTTGATGTTCAGCGCCGTGTCGCGCACCTGCACCGGCAGCCCGTACTCGAGATCCAGCATGCACACCTGATGGAGGGATGGGGAAGGGGGGGGGAAGGGTGGGCGAGAGTGGGGGATGCGGGATGGCGTCGGTGGTGTTGATGTTCAGCGCCGTGTCGCGCACCTGCACCGGCAGCCCGTACTCCAGATCGAGCATGCACACCTGGAGAGGAGGGGGGGTGGAGGGAAACGGGTGATGGGGGTGTGAGGAGGGTGTGGAGGAGGAAGGGGACGGTGGATAATGTGTGTGTCGCGCACCTGCACGGGCAGCCCGTACTCGAGATCCAGCATGCACACCTGGAGAGGAGGGGGGTTGGAGGGAAGCGGGTGGTGGTGAGGTTGGGTGGGGGGTGTGGAGGAGGAAGGGGAAGGGGGATGGTGTATGTCGCGCACCTGCACCGGCAGCCCGTACTCGAGGACCAGTATGCAGCCAACATTGCAGGTTGCACGCGGCACTCTCTTCACAAAAAACTCTCGTCAGAAAACCCGAAGAGGCAGATCAGGGCGAAGCGGCGCGACTGGGTGGCGCGTGGCACAGAACCCAGTACGAACCCACCGTGAATTATGGTTCAACTCACGGTCACGGAACAGACATAATGGCAGCTGAGGTGGATTCCAAATCAGATCAAATCTAATCAGCGCACGGGGCTGACCTGGCAGACGTTCTTGAGCTTGCAGCACGTCTGGCAGATCTCGGTCTTCTTGTAACGCGCGTCGCGGCCCGGCCGCCATCGGAACACAGTGAAGGGCCGCGTGCAGATCTTGCACTCCTTGTCGAAGCTCGCCTTGGTCTGACGTGGCACACACCGGGACAAGGAAATGACCATGGGGGAAACCGCGAGTCAAATCTGAATTGCCATCGGAACACGGTGAAGGGCCGCGTGCAGATCTTGCACTCCTTGTCGAAGCTCGCCTTGGTCTGACGTGGCACACACCGGGAAAAGGAAATGACCATGGGGGAAACCGCGAGTCAAATCTGAATTGCCATCGGAACACAAGTGAAGGGCCGCGTGCAGATCTTGCACTCCTTGTCGAAGCTCGCCTTGGTCTGGCAGCGCACCACACGGGGGAAGCGAGGCACACACGGGAAAACCGCGCGAATTGTGTATAATTTGCCACCGGAACAGAGTGCAAATCTTGCACTCCTCGTCGAAGCTCGCTGGCAAGGACCTCGCCAGGTGATTAGAAAGGGGAGCCGCGAAATAGAGAGCCGCGAGGTAATAACCGCACGTGAAAGAAAACGAGTCGAAATTAAGAAAGAGTGAGAGTGATGGAAGCAGATAGTGGACGGAGGAGATCGTGTAGATGGTTTTAGAAAGGGATGGAAGGCTGACTGGGAACGAAATCGCAGAATCTATGCTTTTCCGGCGCTCCGATCTACGTCAGCAACTAAGATAAATCAGTCCTGCCATCTAGATGTGTCCCGTCTGGCTCTGTGTCCGCAGCAACATCCATAAGCAAGGAACTACTTAAATGAAAACGATACTCGATTACGAAAAGAGAATTCTTTCGAGCCTCACCATGCGAACGTAAGGATTCGCGCCAAGGCACGTCTCGCATATGATCGGAAAATCGCTGCGCTCCCAGCCATCTGCGTCCTCGTCTCGTAACAACCGATGAGCCATGGCTCCTAGAAACAAAAGCTAACTCTTGGAACTCTGAAGCTGGATCGTCGACTATCACGAATCACGGAACGTAAACGGACGAGATAGGCTGCAATTATCAAGAAAACACAACTGCGAAAAGCCGCTATGTCGGGTCGGCCGACTTGGAAGAACGAAACTGCAGACCAAGAAATGATTGCATACTAACAGCTCAGACAGGCAAAATTAGGGTTTTGAAAAGAAGGCTTGGGGACACGAGGCTTCCTTCAATCGAAATCTTGCTTGTGGCGGCAACTGATCGTGTGGATCAAATCATCGAAGAAAATGATTTTGGATACCACTTTAATTTGTGACTTGTCACACTCACTTCGGGCAATCCATATATCGAGATATCTTATCGACGGAACCTCCGTGTTCTTGGCTATGTTGAGCACGATCGTTCTGCGTTTTGCTCCATCAACCAACCGGGAAAACGACCTGCTGGTTCACCAGATCAGATGTTCAGCAGATGTGCTACAGTGCCGCATCGTGGCCTACCCACAGCTCCGACCAACTTCTGATGTTATCCGCCCAGCGAATGGCTGTTGGCTTGAACCGTGCCGCAACCTAGCGAAGTCGGCTGCAACTCGTTTTCTCTGTCGTTTACAGATTTGGCCCAAGAGTCGACAAATCGCCAGCAGTGGTTACCATCGAGACGAAGCACCGTCAAGCAGGAGGCAGGTTGTTCGGCAGCGTGGGTTAGATCCCCGCGTCGCTTGGCACTGTAGATTGTGCGTCTCGGCGACGACTCGCATCGCATCACAGCGGAACGTCTCCACGTTGGGTTGTTCAAAATGACCCTCGGGCCCTCCGCCCCCCTACCTCTCCCCTCCCCCCCATCGCGCCAGCCTCTGTCACTACCGTCCGTCCACCTGTCGAGCAGGTCTGCCTTTCCGCCCGTCTTGACACGAGCGAGACGGTTGGGAAACCCAAGGGGAAAGGGGATGGGAAAAGGGGGCAAGCAAAGCAGTCTTGCCCTTCTGCAAATCAACCACACCGCACACGTACTGGTCTCTTTAACCCAGAAAGCACAATCCCCAGCACTTCCGCAACACCTACACAAGGCGCTAGACGCCCTTCCTTACTCTTTTCCTTTTCGTAAAGCTCCGCGTGGATAGTGTTCTGCCCCACCATACAATACAAATCCATTACCCCACCCTGATCGCAACGCGGCGTGGCTGGTCGCCATGGCTCCCTTCTGGGAATTCCGCGTTCACTCCGAGCCCAACCGGCACCCGCAGCTCGGCAGAAAGCCGCGCCCCAGCGCGCTTCTCATCCCCGAACCCATCGACCCTCCGCCCACCCCGCGCCCCTCCGCTTCCCATCCCCCACGCCCCTCCGCGCCGCTCCCTAAAATCCGCAACGAGCCTCTGTGGTTCAATCAGCCGCCGCTTTTCATCTCCAGCCATCCCGTAGCCCCCATCGCCGAGCCGGTCGCCTCGTTTCTTCGGCCGTCTCTTGCGCCGCCCCCAGCTCCGCGCCCTGCGCAGAGGCGGAAGCCGCGCCAGCGCCCGCCGCGCCAGCCTAAGCTCTGGGACCTCCTCCCAGAGCTTCCTCCCGCGCCGCGCCCCTACAAGGTCTCTCAACCCTCCGTCGGCGACGTCGCTTCCGCCCCGCTCGCACATCTTCACGGCCAGCCGTTTGCGTCGCCGTTCTGGCAGCCGGCCCCGCGGAACCCTAGCCGGCAGGTGTCAATCGGTTTCCCGACAGCGGGCGCTGGCGGTGTTATAGATCTCTCGACATGGGGCTCCGCCAAAACCGCAGCACGCGGGGTAGGAACAGTGCGGAGGGGGGAAAGGCCGGGGGAAATCCCGCAGATCCAGGTGAATTCAAGTGCGAGCGCGAATGCTCGGGAAAAACGGGAAACGCAGCAGCCCAGCGACGCAGCCGAATATACATTCGTCCAGTCCCAGGCTCGAGTTCCCCTTGTGTCGCAGTCGCGCGAGGGGTCGACAGCCGCGGCGCCAATCGCGGCGCGAGAGTCATCCAGCCAGTTGGCGCCCGATGCGGTCTGCGGAGCTGCCGCTTCTTCCAGCTCTCGCGTTGAGGTGCGTTCCGCCCGTATGTGTGTTCCGCCCATGTGTGCTTCCCGCCGTGTGTGCTTTCCTCCCATTTGTGGTTTCCGCCCATTTGTGCTTTCCGCCCATGTGTGCTTTCCGCCCATGTATGCTCTTCTCTCGCCTTGTCTCGCTGTCTCGCATGGGCGTTTGTCGCGTGGCAGAATTTTATGAGAGGGGATTGGGGAGGGAGTGTGGGGGCGGGAAGAGGTTATGGAGAGAAGTGGTTGGGAAGTCTGGTGGGGAAAAGGAAGGGTCCTGAGTGAAGAGAAGCTGGTCGGTGCGTTTATAACAAGATTTGGGTAGCACGGTGTACCAGAATGTGTCTGGGAACATAACTATGCAAAATCACCTTCATTCTGAACTTAATATAATCTCCTTCCTTACTTTCATGTGCCCTGTTACTCTGCAGGATTTCACACTCTCCGTTGCTGCACCCTCCTCAATGGATCCCGCACGGGGCAGGCAGCACAGAGACTCATGCACCTGCTCGGTGGACTACGCCTCTCTCTGGGGCTCATTGCTCTCTGCTGCTGCAGAAGTTGCATTGGTCGTTGGAGACGTTGCTTCGCTCATCGCCCCTCATTCACCCACACCTCTTACACTAACAAGCAGTGCCGGCATTCCTCTACCTGCATCTGCTATAAGACCCACTGTGACCAGCATTGCGACTCTAACTGGGAAGGGTGTAGGGCTGCTGCAGGATAGCAGTCCTTCGTCGGTCCTCCAAAATCCTGTTTCCGATACCTCATCGGAGCTTAGCCCTGACACGTGAAATGGGTTTCACTGCTCTCGTTTTGCGATGTGTAACTCAATTTTCCTGAAATAAGGTGGAAATGAGTTTACTGTGGAACCTTGTACAGTTATGGCTGCTCAAAATCTTTACCATATTCAGACACGAGCACACTGAATGAATTTATGAGTATTGGGACTACCAAGGAAAAGAGGAAAGGGGATTAGGGTACGTTCCTGGCCAGTGTCAAGCTTCCGGTCATCCGCGGATGACCGGAAGTTGGACCCACTTTGGGCCATCCGAGACCAACTTCGGGTCTTCCGGCCAGTTTCTGGAAGACCTGAAGTTTGACAGGGAGTTTGACCCAAAGCTTCGGGCCTTCCCGGGAAGGCCCGAAGCTTGACACGGGCCAGGTTCGGACCTTTACTTAAATACGTAACTGGTCCGTACCTTGTTGGTTTGACCCGTTATAAGAAGTAGGTGATCTGGTTCCTGGACATCGTATAAACACCTCTCTTGACACGCCACGTGTCCTCAATATTCATCGCTGTAGCGCTCCCCCAGCATCTTGGGCTGGGCAAGTGACACTTCCTCCAAAAGAGCTGCCCAGCTTCGAGGGGTGCCAAACCAGGCCTGGCTTAGCCCGAGCCATCAGTGTGGACCTTGCAAACCAGCCTTTTCTGCCGAACCAGGTCTCTAACTTGGTCAGTCAAGAGGCGCCGTGAAGCTCGGAGCAGCGGTTTGTTGACAAAGCAGAACGACGGGCAGACCAGAGCGAAACCGCAAGCGTCATCCCGAATCGTACATCTCCGAACCATACCGAGCCGCAAATTCACCCCTAACCCGAGGCAAAAGAGATCGCACCGCCTCCGCGAAAGCAGGTCCCATGTCAATCAAGATTTACAGCAAGCACCCTTCCACTCTCCCCTCGCCACCTCATTTGATGAACACTCCTCGCACAAACAGAAATTCTTTCCCATCCATTCCAGCCTCCGTTTTGCCCTGCTCCTTTCACTTCGCTCCTGCAGAGCAGCACATTTAGCACCAATTTTCCAGGGTTCATTTTTCAATCCTTATTGTCGATCGATGGTTCCCATCATCATGGCCCCATCCTGGAGCTCCGTCGTGGAGCAGATTGCCGTAGTTTCCCAACACGAGCAGCAGCAGGACGACAAGCTTCGATCCAGCCAGACCCACAACGCGCCCGTTTTGATTCCAAGCCACGAACACACACCACATGAGCACAACCCCGCGCCCCCTATAGGCCGCAAGCCGCGCCCCGCCGTTCTACTAATTCCCGCAGTCCTTCCTCCGCCAGCCTCTCCTCTTCCGCTTCCGCCGGCCCCTCACCGGCGCCCCGACCAATTACAGGCGCGAGCGCAACAGCTGCAGGGGGGGCCGCATGCGCGCCAGGGGGGTCCGCACAGGCGCGCGCGCCAGCTCAAGATCTGGGATCTCCAACCCGAGCTTCCGCCGGCCCCTCATCTGCGCCATGACTGCGCGCTTGTGCGCGCGTGTGCGCAGCAACTCCGCAATCTCCCGCCGGAGCTGCCGCCGGCCTCCCAACCGGACGCGGGACTGCCCGAGGCGCCGCCTAGTGACGGCGCGTGCGGCGGCGGCGCGCCCGGGCGAAGCGGCTTGTGCTCCCCGATTGGCGGCGGGTTGTGCGGCGCCGTCCATTGCGCTCGGTGCGACTTGCTCAGTCGGCCGAAGCGATGGCCGTCGATCGGCTTCCCCGTGCGGCGATCCGCGCAACTTGCGCAGCAAGCGGAACATGCGGCGCACCCCGCGCGGCGAATCAACGTGTTAGCAGTACCTAGCTGCAGTGACCCTGAGACTCGACCCGAGGGGAAAATGTCCCCCGCATACCCCGCAGGTTCCTCCGCTGATCCGGTTATCCCCGCAGATCCCTCAATCTCCGCAGAGCCTCCCCACCAGCAGCGGCCTCCATTCCCGCATGCTTTGCCCATTGACGAGCCTGCGCTCTTCCGCGCGCGGACCGAGGATTTTCCGCCGCCCCCTTGCACTTTCACTTCTACTCCCGCGGATGTGCCTCTCGAAACGCCCCGCGCTTCCCGAGGAATGGCGGAACCATGGGGCGGAAAGGCGGAGCAGGCGCAGGCACTGGGCAGCGGAGGGCTAGCGGAATCGGCGGGGGCTGCGCTTGCGGGGGGAGACTGGCGGAAGCTTCCTGCGCCTGGGTGGTACCGGCGGCGGGATTGGGAAATCGGGAACGGGCGGAATGCAATCCGCGGAGTGTCTGTGCGCGCATCAACTGCAGCTGTTGCTCCGCTTCCCGTTCAACCAACCGCGCAGCGTGCTCCCCCAATGGTGAGCCATGCTCCGCTAACAGGGCAGGGTGCTGAACAAAGCAGCAGGAGCTCTCTAACGCGGATGCCCTCCGTCCCCACCGAGCCCGAGCGCAACGACGATGAATGCGCAGAAATTGAAGCAGATCCACGCAACAAATCCCATCGCGTCACGTGTCTCCCCATCAGTGGCGAAGCCATCCAGACCCACGTGGCATCTCTCTGGCTGACAGTACTGAGTCAGCTGGATTTTCTGGGGGAGGTGTCTACTGCGTTCCTGGGGGAGGTTGCACCTGGCAGACGTAACAGGCAGGAACAGGGGGAGGAGTGGAGCGGAAAGCAGGCAGGAAGCAGCATTCGCGGAATGTCAAATAACCATAAACGCGAGCAAGCCGTGGGGGCCGCAGCACCACTTCTGATGGGGGGAAGCGATGGGGAGAGACTGGCCAATGTTGCTGCTACTGCTCGCCTGATGGCTGACCCTCCCATTCTCTCCCCAGACATGCGCTGCCGTGATTTCAGTGGCTTTAACGTGAGTGGCTTCAATACAGGCGGCTTTGCTGATGCTGGCGTATGTGGCGCTACTGTATCTCCGCCCTTGAGTTCCCTGCAGCCTCTCTCTACGGCGTCCATCTTCCACCTGAGGGAGGTGCTATCTGCAACGCCGGGTACAACCGCTAACAACCGCACTGAACCGGGCCGGCCGTACCTGCGTGTCCGGACCACTCCATCAGTCCAGCCGAACGACCTGGACACGTGTCGCAAGGGGACTGGCCAGAGCCCTGCATCCATCCTGGACTCTCCTGTTCCTTCCGTTGACTCTGGCTGTGATTCTCGCCCTGAGCTTCTATGGGCCCAGCCCACACTCTCCCTCGGGTATTGAGACTTCTTTTGAGTCGACTCAAATGGGCCCAGCCCAGCCCACACTCTTCCTCGGGTATTGAGAATCTGAAACGTCTTAAAACTGATGACTCTAGCTGTGATTCGCGGCCTGAGCTTCTGTGCGGCCAGCCCACACTCTCCCTGGGCTATTGAGTTGAGGGACTTCTCAAAATTGATGACTCTGGGTGTGACTTTCGTCCCAAGCTAATGTGGACCAACCCACTCCCTTACTTGGGTATCAGAAGCTCACTTTCTCCATTAGATTGTAGGGTAACTCCTTGTTAACAACAATAAGGTAACTTCTGTATAGCTACTTTATGATACTCTTCTACAACACGCATAGCATACTTGGGTTTAAATCCACAAATGCCTTGTTTGACTCTGCTACTGGTACTTGTGCTGAATGTGGTGTTGCAGATGATGATACACCAGACAGAATTTTCGATTGGCATTCACAAGCAAATCAAAACAAATCAAAACACAGGGTCCTGATTAGGGGATGAGGGTTGGCATTGCGTATCTGCACTTTGTGTCTAGTAGTATGCCATACCCTCATGCCCTAATCACACCCTCCTGCACTACTATCCAGTCCTCCTGACCAGAGCCCCATCAGCCAGGCCCAGACATACAAATACGGCAACTCCTCGAAAATACCCCAAGAAGTTGTGAAGCCTACAAAAAGTTGTGAAGTCTGACAGGCTTAGGGGGGGACACAGCAGGCACTGCTAGACCTGCCATTTAGACTGCTGATTGGAGCAGTCGCCGCAGTCGCTGCCGATTACTGGCATGATCTCAAAATCATGTCATCATCGTGGCTTTTATTCATCCGCGGCTGTCGTCGTCATCTTCTTCTTCCTCCTTACCCGTACTCTCATTCCTCCTCCTCCACTCACCCCCGCTCGTACTCTCATTCCTTCTCCTCCACTCAATCCTCCTCCTCATCCTCGTCATCATCAAACCCAATATACTCCAGCACGCCTGCAGGGCTCCCAAATCGCCCCGATCCAGCCTTTCCCTGCTGCCCCGCATTCCCATCCTCACCCTCTCCCCAGTCCTGTTCTTCTCCCTCCTCGTCGGAGATTAACCGCCAAAACCACGATGAGTTAGAGGGCTTATCAGAAGAAACATCGGAGAAGATACCAAGGACGGCTGTCAGGAGTTCGTTCAGGTCGGCAGCACAGACGGGCGCTTCCCTGTATGCCCTAAACTGCCTTCTCCTCTGCTGCATTCGCTCTCGTTGCATTCGCTCCCGCTGCATTCGCTCCTGCTGCATGCGGCCCTGCTGGATTTCACGCGCGTCAGAAGCGAGGAGCACTCGCCCCTGCAGCGCGATTCCCGCCGCTCGACACGCGATTTCGGGAGCCTGGGGAGTCGCAGCCCACCTGCGGGCCTCTGGCTCGCTATGCGATGCTTCGCTATAGGGAGCTGACTCACCACCGTCTGCTGCCTCGTTACAAGCTACCCCGCTGCTGGCAAATCGAGCCGAGACGGACAAGCCTCCTTGCTTCTTCCAGAAGTGTCCATTCCCTGCTGCTTCTTGAACAGCATTGACCGCTTTGACCTCGTTGAATTTGACGGCTGAGTCGATTGCAGCTTCGCGGAAGTTTGCTGGAAGGTTCTCCAGCACCTTCGGCACGCCAATGGCGCGAAACCCTTGCCGTGGACTAGTGATCCCAGTCCAAGGTTTCGCCGAGCTCTCGTTCTTTAGATCCGCAGTCTCCTCGAGAGTAGAACTGTCCTGGAGCCCTGTCTGGTTACCACACAGCGATCGGTTTCGCACGTGAAGCGCGTAACACTTGACAGAGCGGTCGCTAGGGCGACGCGGAAAGCCAGGCGTCGGCTCGGGCCGAAAACCATTGCTGCTATCTTCCGGCGCTTCCGGCGCTTTCGGCGTCGGCAGCAGATCCCAGATCTTCGGCTGCCGCTGCCGGCGGGGCTGGCCGGCAGCGCGAGCGGCCGGCTGGACGGCAACTGGCGCGCGGGGTTGGTGGAAAAGAGGGTGCGGCTTGGGGGTGAGGGGCGGGGGGTGATTTCGGGGATTTGCAGCATTGGCGGGCGGGGTTTGCGGCCGATGGTGGGGGCGGGATTGTGGAGCGCGGGAGTGGAAAACGGAGGAGGGACGTCGAGGAAGCTACATAAATCTGACAGCGGCATGGCGACGGGCTGATTGCGTGTGCTTGGAATCTCGGGAGTGCGAAAAAGAGCTAAGTCGAAACAAAATGACCGTCTGAAATGTACTAGGGCCTCCTCTCAGGAACTTATAGTCCGGGATAACAAGTTAAACGGGTGGGGTAGGACCGCGTCTAGGGTGACACAGGCAGACAAAGAATGGCGACAGCCTTTATCAATGCTTGTGTATTTGTAATCGTGGTGAGGACGTGAGGTGAAAGCTGGGAGAAATGGTGGCAGGGGAAACTGAGGTGGTGGGGGAAGGAGGCGATTGGGGGGAGGAACACACAGGTTCTGGCTGGCTAGAAAATGCATTTGATTGGTTTATGGCTCAGCCGCCAAAGCGTCTGAGGTGGCTGGGGAAGGAGGAAATTGTTGGTCGGGCTGGCTGATTGGCTGGAAAATGTATTCGATTGGCTGAAGTTATGGTTCGGCCCGAAGCAGCTTCTTTCTGTTTCGTCCGAAACAGACAAGGGATTCATCGCACCGCGGTCCATGTCTCTTTCGTGCTCTTCGGTCAACGAGAACGCGGCGCCTCGTGAAAGGAACTTTCGGTCCACTCCACGTCCCAGCTGGATGACTCGCTACTGCGACGGGTCACGACGAGGCTGAGCTGTGGTGGTGTGTGGCTTGGGTAAGTCAAAATAGGTCGAGCCAAAGCAGGCTAGATGAGGGGGTGTGATTGTGTATGGAAAGGCTGGGGAGGGTACAGTACAGTTCGAACCATGTGGTGCCGAACCAAGAGGCGCGGTGGTACCACCGCACCGCACCACAAGTTCCTCACCGCCCACCTCCATTCGCCAAAGGTGCGACCAGCGAGATTGCCGAACCTGTCGGCCACCGTCACAGGCGCCACCGCGATTGTACGCGCTGCTACCATATCTCACTTAGCAACACCATTCACAGGGTTTCGTCCACCAAAAAAAAAAAAAACAAGTCAAACATGCCTTGTAATATTTGAACACCATCTGCTGGTTTCACTGTACGACTGGTCTGAAGACTTATAACGAGCACGTTCCTTGCCCTCAAAATTGCAGTGCGCGTCGCAGAAGAAAACATCCATGCCTCTGACACATCTGGATGATGTGGATTGGTCCAGGCACATCCATTGGTGGATAGGTGAAGCTGTACAGAAATTAGCGAGCCAGCCCCGTGAACTACGCACCTTGACCCGTTCCCGAGGCTGGATCAAAGCTCAAGAGCCCCGTGCTCTCCTAATTTCGAAACTCATGTCCACCGATATTAGATTGTTCTGGCCTATCTCACTAAGCATAGCGACTCGCGTCCCCGATATATTCGAAACAACGTTATTATGCTATTATCTACACACACTACATCTAGGAGTCCGTGTGCACCATGGGAAGCCACAGAAAAGTCATTAACGATTTCCATTTGTCGCGTCGCGCGGCAGTCCAGTTACTTCTGGCTGCAGTTGCGTTCCTCGCACTGCTTACACTGCCATGCTTTAGTCGGAACCTTAGTGTGCCGGTCTCCAATCTTCTAAGTTTCCCCAATGGTACAACAGGAATCAAAGGTGGTCATTTGGGTGAAAGTGTCGAGGAATTGTGGGAAGGTTCGTCGGGCTCGTATCACGGCGATGTTGTATGCTGGTGGTCCGGGGATCACGGTGGCTATGACGGGAAAGACTCCTGGTCGAACCAGATCTATGGTGGTCCCGAGGAGGACAATGTGGTTCCCACCCCTGAGTCTAGCGCTAGCGCTCGTACTACGAAAACGGCTAGTAGCCGTTCAAACGATGAAAGAAGAGGTCGAGGAGGCGTGGTGATTTTCGGGCCAGGATGTCGCGATTGCGTCGCTGGGCGACTGTGCACGTTCGAGATCGCCGTGCGACGGCCTGCGACGTGGACGGTGCCGCCAGGCATGGCGTTCAAGCACGAGTTGGCGGTGCAGCTGGTGGGACCGTCGCTCGTGCGAGCTGACGTCACGGCTGAGAGAGGCGACGTCAGCAGATGGCGGGTGGCATACCGCGTATGGGACGATGGAATATACAAGTGAGTGAGCGTGCTCCTCCGTCAAAATAAAAAAAAAAAAAAAAAAAAAAAAAAACGAATATGAAGTCGCAAACAAGCCGAATACGTGGCTAGTAACGAGCTGTTTTTACCCGACCCTTTCTTTCCCTTCCCTTCACAACAGAGTGGTTGTTCGATCCGGATGCGGCTCCCTGAATTACTCCTCTTCCTTCACGCACGCGCATGAGCACGACATGGCGCAATGGACCCTCGCCGTCCGTCCCAGTGGCAAGCCCGTAACCACACTTCCAGCAGGCCAGCGTCAGCAGGAACCTTCTCATTCACTTCCCGAGGCAGCGAAGGGGGAAGCAGTGGCTGGTGGAGGGTTGGGTTCGGCCTGTGGCCACGGCGCCACCCACGGCCGCTGGCTGTTGGATGGCAGCACTGGAAAGTACAGGTGAGACGGATAGTACGGACACGACTCCACTGACGCATATGATAGCCTTGAATCCCGATTGCCAATGCACAGCCCTGTTACTCTGCCACTCTCCTCCTGCTACGTTCACTTATTTTTGCGTCTCCTAAAACTTCTCAAGCACTTATTCTTTACTTATTCCTTCACTCCCTTTGTACCTCCACCTCCACCTCTCGCCCATCTCAGTTGGGAGTTCTTCCCGTGCGCCCCTGCTCTTCCTCCGCCATCCCACTGGGTCTCCTCCCTGGCATCGCGTAGCATCAGGGAGATCAACTTCGTGGGCGACTCACACCAACGCTTCCTCATGCTGCACCTTGCTTTCCTCATGACACATCATATCAATGACTCTCATGTGGACTATCATGGGGATATCTCCATAACTGCACCTGGCCCTGCTCCAGCCTATGAGACACCACCACGGGGAGATGATGTGGCATCAGGCGTCCGAAGGGGTCTTAGGGGGAGAAATGGTATAAATCAGCAGCGAGAGCAGCAGAAGCAGCAGCAGGAGTCTGAGGGACTGAAGCTGAACTTCTACTGGGTTGATGGGATATTCCAGAATGAGCAGTTTGGATGCGAGTAAGTCAACAGCCACCACACTCTCATTGGAAGCCACCATTTTGACCTTGAGCTTGCTGCATGTTGCGCCATTTGCACAGATATCACGCGTTCATTCCAATTCTCTCCGACTTCATTCTCCCTCCCATTTCCCACTTCAGGCGAAGGGGCTTTTACTCTGGCAGAGAAGACTCTTTTCCTGACATCTCCCTCACGGCTGATGTCACAATCATTGACGCTGGCGCCTGGTCAGGTTTACTCTGTGAGGAGCCCGAGAGGGCCTACAGTGTTCACCTGCCTGCCTATCTTGAGTGGGCCGATGGGCAGAGGCGCAAAGCAGAGGAGCACCAGAGGGAGTATGTGAAGCTACAAACGGCAAGCCTTGATGTTGCTGATTTGGGAACAGATGGTGTTAGTGGGGGAGCCGAGCGTGGCGCTGGTTACGGCGTCAACGGTACCAGGATGCAAACACAGCACACATGGCGGCCAAAGTTTCTGTTTCGGTCCATCCCTCCAATTCGGCGAGTCAACACGGATTGCTTCACTCCAACGCCTCCAAAGCCGTTTTCGTTACATCCTGCTACGAACTCGCTTTTTGAGTACATGAATGGGCTCTTAGAAGGGCAACTTCAGCGCTACAGTATAGAGCTGCTGGATGGATGGCCGCTGGAAGCTCCAAGACACATGGATACATGCGGTCCGACAAACATTCACTACACTTGTTATGATGCTGGTGAGGGAGGGAGAGGGGGTGGGAAAGGTTGGCTGTATGGTGAAGTTGGCGAGGCCATGGCGAATCTTACAATGCACCATCTGTTGTACTGTCTGCATATACAATGAGTTGTGCGTACGGTACTAGGCCATTCAGTTGACTATAGTGAAGAGGGAGCCCGGGGGAGCCCAAGGGAGCCCGGGGGAGGCCAAGGGGGCCCAAGGGAGGCCAAGTTTGGTGCACGAGAGCATGATGCTCATGTTTGGTGGCACATGATGAACCCTATGGTGTTGATGCTCCTGTTGCTTACATAGGAATATAGTGATTGTTGGTGGCATCTCTTACTTCAAACCAGCATTACGCAATAATCTAAGCCGTAACAGTTGAGTGTAGCAAAAGCTACCATCGTTCACATTAAAAGCAACTCGCAAAGATAATATCACATCGCATTTCGCTCCTGCAAACCACCGTGACAAACTGGCTGCTTCTAAAGGTGTTATTGCTAAAGCGATACAGCAACTCCAAAGAAACCATTAATGAAACCATTAAGGCGTTATTGTTAATGAGACCATTATTGCACGCCGCTCCAACGAGCCACCTCGACAAATTGACTGCTGCCAAATATGTTGTTGCTGAAGCGGATGAGAACGGCAAAGATGCGCCGCGCACCCAGGGGCGTTAAACTCTAGGCACTTAGTAAGGTAACTCTAGAAGCATTAACTTGATTGCGCGCCACCGCCTCATTGCACGCCGCTCCACCGTGCGACCTCGACAAACTGACTGCTGCCAAAGATGTTGTTGCTGAAGCGGATGAGAACGGTGAAGATGCGCGCACCGAGAGGCATGCTGCGGGCTAAGGGGGAGGACTCGACTACCCGCTCCAAGCCGTTGATGATCTGATAGCGCGTGTTGGATGATACAGCCATGAAGCCACCTGGGGGGTGATGCGGGAGCGAAAAGGGTGGGAATGATGAGTCAGAAAATAATGAATGAAGCCAAATGGAGAAAAGAGTATATTCTCGATGAGTGTGGCCGTGGCTGGGGGTTGCAAGAGGAAAGAGTGAGTGTGGAGTGAGGGAGAAGAGAAGAGCGTCAGAAAGGGTGAGGGACAAGTGTATATCGCACCACAAAAAAGAGCAGTGAAAGGCAGGCAGAGGGTCGACTTTTAAGTTTTTTTTTTTTGTTAAGAATCAGTTTAAGTGTATCTCATACCCCAGAGTAAGGCAGTGGGAATCATGCCCGGAATCTTCACCTCCTCCTCGTGCTCCCCAGGCTTCCTCAGATTCCTGGCTCCTCGAGTGTGTCACAGGCATAGAGGGAGACACACACGCACATAGGGACACACACACGCAGAGAGAGACACACACACGCACAGAGAGACACACACACGCACAGAGAGACACACACACAGAGACAGACAAGTGAGTCGCAGGGAAGTGGGAAGCAGGCTCGGGATCTTCACCTCCTCCTGGCTCCCCAGGCTTCCTCATTGTCCTGTCCACCCGAGTGTGCCACACACACGCACATAGACACACACACACACACACAGATGCACGCACATATGTGTGTGCACAGCATAAACAACCCGCCCACCCCAATGCTTCCGTGTATGCAGACAAGCAAGAGGCACAGTCACACAGACGCACAGACGAATGCATGGAAGCACAAGCAAGTGAGTTACCGACACCGACTACTGTTCCACCACCCCTCCCCGCTTCCCATCCCCCACTTCCCTCCCCACCTTACCCAACCACAACGCACCTCTTGATTAGCACAATGGCCGTTGTCATCGGCTGCCCAATCAAACCGCAGCTGAACCCCACCCATCCTCTCCCCCCCCTCCCCCCCCTCCCTTCCACCACCCTTCCCCCACCAACCACCACGCACATCTTGATGAGCACAATAGCCGTTGTCATCGCCTGCCCAATCAGACCACAGCTGAACCCCACCCATCCTCTCTCCCTCTTGAATTTCCTATCTCCCTCTCCCCGGCCCTCCCTCCCACCCCCCTTCTCCCCCACCTTAACCGCCACGCACCTCTTGATTAGCACAATGGCCGTTGTCATCGCCTGACCAATCAGGCCACAGCTGAACCCCACCACAGCATACTGCGCACCCTTCACCAACCACGTCGCACCCCTCTGCACCACACTGTATCTCCTCCCAGGCAGAGCCGCCTCAAACATGCTGCTGGGAAGCGCCTCCAAAGCTGCAGACAGGCCCGGCGGCACCAAGCCTGGCCGCCTGCCTCGGGCTGCCGAAGCTGCGGCGCTGCTGCCGAACCTAGCCATGGGCGCGAGCATGCTGACGAGAGCAGCATCGACGGCGAATCCCACGAGGATATCTGACATGTAAAGGTCAAACTCCTTCCAGAAATCGTCTCCTCGTTTCCGCACCTCAGCGAACGTGGCACAGCCAGAGTCGATCACAATCTGGTGGCGAGGAAGGCGTGGGGAGAGGGGAGGGTAGAGTGGAGAGGGGAAAGGGGAAGCGGGTATAGGGCAGGCGGAGCGGGGATGGGTGGAGTGAGGAGAGGGGAGGGGCGAACATGCTGACGAGAGCAGCGTCGACTGCGAATCCCACGAGGATATCTGACATGTAGAGGTCAAACTCCTTCCAAAAGTCGTCCCCTCGTTTCCGAACTTCAGCAAATGTGGCACAGCCAGAGTCGATCACAATCTGGTGCAGGGTGGTGAAGGGAGAGGGGAGAGGAGGACTTTTATTTAAATTTTATGTTTTTTCTGAAGCGCCTCAACCATCACCTCACTTCAGCAAAAGAGGCACAGCCAGAGTCTAAAGCAAAATCTGCTGGCGGGAGGAGGGGGGGGGGGGGGGGGGGGGGGGGGAGAAGGGAGGGTGAAGGGTGGAAGATAAGGGGACACAGATGGTGAGTGTACCAGGGTTCGGGGTTGAAGGTTTATGCAGGGGTTAGGGGTTGACCTTGGAAATATCTATTCATTGAGAACCTTGCTGATAGTGAATACCTGATATTGCAACATCCATTCGGTTCAAATTAACCTTTGTTACAAGCACAAAATCCCATACTAACATATTAACGAGGTTTGACGGATCAGCAGGCGAACGGTGCATATATAATGAACCATACTCGATATAGGGAAGTCTCGTCCAAATACAAGCAGATGCATATACGTTCAAGAGGAAAGCGAGATCCGCCAGCAACCTATCACGCAACCCGGCGCACTTGATATAGGCACGTCTCGCTACAATACCTTGCAAGATACAATACATGCATAAACACGCACCTCTGTGAAGACTTTGAAGAGGAATGCGGGATCCGCCAGCAGCCTATCGCGCAACCCGGAGAACGCGCGAGTGGCGGCGGCGAGAATGCCTCCGCGAACCTGACGGGGAGAGTAAGAGGGGGATTTTGAGAGCAGGGGGGAAAACGGGAGAGAAAGGGGGAGAATGAGAGATGAAGGGGGAGAGTGGTGGGATCGAGACCCTTAAAGTGAATGGACGGGGTATCGGAAATGGGTAGACGGATGTAACATGCGTCCTTTCAGTTTAATAAAAAGTGATTCTATGCAATACAAAGACCAGATCTCGATATAGTCACACAGACCTGCAGGTCAATGTATCGCTGCAGCAACAGCTCCGCAATGCCATTCTCCTTCACATGAGCCAGCATGTCCTCCGGTAGAGTCACACCCGCCTTAGATAACGCCTCCTCCGCTTGCGCCCAGCCCAGGATCGGCCCATAATCGCTCTCCGCATCCCCCGCATTTCCCTCTCCGCCAAGCCCATCCCCTCCCCCTCCCCCTCCGCTTCCGCCTCCGCCTCCACCGGAGCTTCCGCTTGCGCCGTCACCCCCCCCGCCGCCGAGCTGCGTCACGTAACCGGCAGATGAAGCGGCCGCGCTGGTGGCGACTGACGGCCTTGACGGTTTGCCGTCGGAGGACCTGGATCTGCCGTCCAGGCCGGGCAATGTAGCAATGCTCGGGTTCAGTGTGGTGCAGATCGGTAGATCGTCAGACGGATCTGCGCTTGCGATGACGATGACGGCGCGGTGGCTTTTCGAAGCGGCATTGCTGGTCGCTCGAAATGTGGCGGCGGGAACGGTAATGGAATGCGAAAGTCGCACAGTGAAAACCGGTTCCTGGGATCGCCAGCCATTAAATGAAGATCCGACAGCTGTCGCGAAGCCCTGTGCACCCGCAGCGGGGTTCGCTAAATGCAAGGCCATGGCCAAACGATCTGACGCGATTTCCGCTAAGAGCTTGCCGCTTGGATGCAGGGGATGCACGGTGCCTGAACGCGACTACCTAAGATGCAATCGCAATGTGGTCAAGGAGGCGGCTTACCCAAACCAGGTTTGTAAGCCAGTTTCCGTGCAAGCAAGGGTCGACAAGAGGAGAGATCATGGAGGACCAATGGATCCTCGAGAGTGGTAGAAGGCCAGGGAGGGAACTTCGAGGTTTTGAACATTCAATTCACAAGTGCGAAACTCGGTGAGCTATTGATCAACCTTATCGCGTCAGCCGCAATAATGCACCCTGCTTGCTCTGTGTTGTACGCGTTATACGAATATATTTTTGTACTGTGAACACTGTAGCTGCGGTGCTCGATTCTGCCACGGTTCTGCAAATCTGCAGCGTCGCCATGCGGTCGCAGCATCTTTTCCCCACGTGGAGCCCAGCCACTGGCTAGCTACTCGCCTTCCCACCAATGAAAGATGAAATTCGTGAGAGATCAAACCAATCACATTTATCCTTGGAAGCTCCACTTCGAAGGATTACTACGTACACTTTGATTTTTGCCGAAACTGCAACAGCTACAACAACTGACCACCTCATTATCTTTTTAATCAGGTGCTGCTCCTTAATGCACGTTGCAACTCGGAAGGCTTTAGAGGCTTGGTGATGAAGCTATCCATCCCCACCTCCATGCACCGTTCCCTATCCGATGCCAGAGCGCTGGCAGTTAGAGCTATGATGCGCGGCCGACGCATATGCTGCCCCCGACGGTATTTACATTCTTGGGACTCCATGTCGGTCATCTCTGTTAGTTGGCCTTGCGAAGCTGCTGCAGCAGCTGAAGCAGGGGTGGTTATACTGGAATCAAAGCCGCTGCTGGTGCCGTTACCATTAACGTACGGAACCTTATTCTGATCAGTATAATGTTGTAGAATGAGACGCGTTGCCTCAAATCCATCCATCTCAGGCATATGGCAGTCCTGGAGTCATGTCAAGTAGGTATGCCGGGGGAAGGGCAGAGAACACAGGAAATCGCATCTAGGAAGAATGGTGAGAACAAGGGAAAAAATATATCCAGCATGTGTGTCGCCACTAGCTGATTCACCTCAGAGACCAACATCTAGATGTTTTGAACTCCTCACTATAGAAACGACTCACCATAAGCACGAGGTCGTAGTCCCGCTGTGCGCACTTAGCAACAGCTTCCCGCCCATTGACAGCCACGTCACACGCCACGCCCAGGCTGCGCAGCATGCGCGTCACCACCAGCTGATTCACTCTGTTATCCTCTGCCACCAGGCACCTCATCCCCTCAAAGGGCGACTTCATCTCTTCTCCTTCCTTTGTGCCACGCCCCTTGCCCTGCTGCTCTCTCCGCCCTTCCTGCTCGCCCTGCTCTCTCTGTTCGCCCTGCTCTCTCTGTTCGCCCTGCTCTCTCTGCTCGCCCCGCTCCTGTGCTTCTTCATCCGGAGCTCCTTCTTCCTTTGCGCACCGTCCATTCCCCTGCATGTCCCCCTGCTGCCTCACACATGCTCCCTTCACATCCCATTCCACCTCATGTGTCTCCCCTCCTCTCCCATTCACACCAACATGAGACCTCACACTCTCCTTTGCTGCTTCCACACCTGCCGTGCCACAGATGCCACCGCTGCAGCCGCTGCCGCTGCTACCACCCATGCTGCCAATGCTGCCGCTGCTTCTGCTGCTGCCACTGCTGTTGCCGCTGATGCTGATGCGGTTACACACGCGCTCAAGGGCTTTGTTTAAATGAACACTGTTGTTCGGTGCTGTTGCCTGGTCAGTTACTTGGTTAGTGGCCTGGTCAGTTGTGTTAGTTGCCTGGTCCTGTGGCCGGTCAGTTGCACAATCAGTTGCACAATCAGTTGCACACTCCATTGCAAGATCAGCTGCACGGTTAGTTGCCCTAAGCTGCTTAGTCAGATCAGAGTGCAATGGACTGCTCTGAATCGTCTTCAAACGAGGACGAGGAAGAGGAAGAGGAGGAAGAGGAGGCGGGGGAGCAAAGGTGCTGCTGCGAGTGGCTTCGGGACAGGGAGGGAGTGCGGGAGGGAGGGAAGGTGTGAGGGAAGGTGAGAGGGAGGGCGGGAAGGAAGGTGCAAGGGAGGGTGAGATGAATGGAGAGACGGAGGCCACTGCTGGAGCAGGGGACAGCGAATGAAGGGCGGGAGGTGGTGTTGGGACAATGAGGGGTGCAGCGAGGGCAGGAGGCATAGGGAGAACCTGCGATGCAGCTAGAACCGTTGGTGCAGGGATAGTGGGAGGTGGAGGGAGAGCAAGAGGTGCAGGAAGAGGGGGAGGTGGAGGAGGAGCGGGAGGTGAAGGAAGAGAAGGAGATGGGTGGTCTGAGGGAAGAGGGGGAGGTTCAGGCTGATGAGAGTCAAGGGCACTGGGTGGAGGCTCAACTGAGGCACGGGCAGGTAGGACTGGGGGAGGGCGTACTGACACTGCCTGCATGGGGAGGGATGCGTTACTCTCTGCTTTAAGGGCAGGTGGTTTTGGGGCGGGTTGCGCTGGGTCGGGTGGTTCTGGGGCGGGTAGTGATGGGCCAGGTAGTCCTGTGTTGAACGGTTTTGGTTCTGCAGGTGCATCTGAGTCAGGCTTACCCCTCCCATCCGCCACCACTTGATCCCCTCGAGCTTTCCCAAAGGGAATATAGACAGTGAAAGCCGACCCGGCACCAGGCCGACTCTCCACAGAGATCTCCCCACCCATGAGGCCAATGAGCGAGTGACAGATGGCAAGACCCAGCCCCGTGCCTCCGAAGCGGCGTGAGGAGGAGGAGTCGGCCTGAGTGAAGGGGTGGAAGATGTGAGGCATGATGTGTGCTGCCATGCCTATGCCCGTGTCCTGCACCCTCACCTGCACCCACTCCACCGACCTATGTTCCTGCCCCTCCTGCTCCCCCTGCTGCCGCTCCTGCCGCTCTTCCTGCTGCTGCCCCTGCTGCCCCTGCTGCCCCTGCTGCCCCTGCTGCCCCTCCTGATCCTGCCCCTCCTGCTCCTGCTGTTCCTCCCCTGATGCTCTCTGCAGTCTCTGCAGACCATCGGGCATAGTAGCTCTTCCCACTGCCTCCGCTTCTCCACCCACCCCTTCTGTATCTCCTCTCTCCATCCCATTGTCCCCACGGCCTCGTACCGTCGACCTCGCTCCTTCGTCCCCTGGAATCACCTGCACGTCCCTCCCATGCGCAATACTACACCTCCCCACCAACTCCGCCTCCCCACCATGCTTGAGTCGCGTCCCTACATCCCCCCCATGCCCAACACTCATCTCCACGCGTGTCAAGTCCTCGAGCCATCCACTTGTCTCCTCCACCCTGATCCCCTTCACCCCTTCCTCTCTTCCAGTCGCCACCAACCGCCCCTGCCTCTTCATCCCACCATCGCTCTCCTGCTCCTCACCTCGCCCTTCTCCCTCCCTCTGCCTCTTCCTCCCCTGAAATCTCTCAACCCTGCCATCACCACCATCGCCTTCTCCCTCTGCTCCCCTACCCCGCCTAAACTCCTCCCCTCTACTCTCCCCTCTCCTACCTCGAGCACCCCTGCAATCACCGCCCTTACGAATCCCCAAGTGGATCCCCTCTGGGTCGGATTCCCAAGGTTGCCCATCCCAGAGCCTACCCGTGGGCCCACCAGCCTTGCTGTTGACACGTGAAGTGGGTGGTTCGTGCAGCTTTGTCACATGCACCGCCACGGAGCCTCTGCCATGCCATGGGGACGCATGCACAGAGGGGAAAGGGCACAGCGCACGAGAGAACAGCAGGGCAGTGAGCAAAACGCCGGAGCCGAGAAGGGAGCGGTGACAGGGTGAGGCTGCTTTTTGAAATGAGTGTGCCTCTCTTTTAGTGTTCAGAACAGTGTATTAACCAAAAGATTAGTGATAACAATAGTTCTGAATATATCATAAGCCACATCCGCATAACGCACCTATCAGTGAACTTGATGGCATTTGAGAGCAGGTTCAGCAGCACCTGACGGAACCGCATTGCATCGCCCACCACCTCCTGTGGCGTGGATGGATCAATACTCACTGACAGCTGTGGTGAAACAAGAAAAGCGGGGGGGGAGGGAGGGGAGAGGGAGGAGGGAGGGAGGGGAGGAGAGTGAGAAGGAAGGGTGGAAACAGTAGTATCGTTGATTGAACCAAGTTCTGAGGCGCCTCGAATCGAAAGTAGAACCAAGTTTTGGGGTGTGGATGGCTGACTGATAGTGACAGACAGTTGGGATGGAGGTATGTAAGGAAGGGTCGAGGAGTAGAGAGGCGGGGGAACGGCAGTGAAGGGAAGAGGAAGGACGAGCGAAAGGGAGTGGAATTGCAACATACCTGCAGCCCTTTCTTCACGGCAACAACCCTCATGAGCGCGAGAGTGCTGTCAATGGCCGCGCGGAGGCAGAAGGGCGCGAGGGAGAGGGCGAGGGAGTGGGACTCGATGCGTGTGATATCGAGGAGGTCTGAGAGGATTCGCACGAGGCTCTCCCCTGACGCCCGCACCACATGCAGCAGCGCCCTCTGCTCGCTGCTCACACCCGAGGCTAGTAGTAGTTCCACCACCCCCAACACACCTGACGAAGGGACCAAGGAAGCAGCATGGAAGGAAGGAGGAAGGGGGGAGGGGCGAATGGGTGAGCCTCTTTGCAAACCACCTCAAAAAGAGAGTGATATCGAGGAGGTCTGAGAGAATTCGCACGAGGCTCTCCCCTGACGCCCTCACCAGGTGCAGCAGCGCCCTTTGCTCGCTGCTCACACCCGAGCTTAGTAGTAACTCCACCACACCCAACACGCCTGGAGAAGGAGGTACGGAGGGAGGGGCGAATGTGAGAGAGTGTTTCTACGGCACCACACGAGGCTCTCCCCAGATGCCCGCACGACCTGCAGCAGCGCCCTCTGCTCGCTGCTCACTCCTGAAGCCAGCAGCAGCTCATCCACCCCTAATACGCCTGGGAAAGGAAGGAGGGAGCAGGGTGGGTGGAAGGGTGATGCGTGAGTGTGTGCTTAATAGCACCTCACCACACAAGGCTCTCCCCTGATGCTCGCACCACGCGCAGCAACGCCCTCTGCTCGCTACTCACTCCTGATGCCAATAGCAGCTCCACCACCCCCAACACGCCTGGAAGGGAGCAAGGAAGGAACACGGAATGAGGGAGGGTTGGATGGAGGGAGGGTTGGATGGAGGGAGGGTTGGATGGAGGGAGGGGTGAACAAGTGAGCCTGCCTTGAAGACATCGCCATCTTGATACTAATATCAAGGAGGTCTAAGAAGGGGGGTCTAAGAAGTCTAAGGGGGGTCTAAGAAGGGGGGTCTAAGAAGGGGGGTCTAAGAAGGGGGGTCTAAGAAGGGGGGTCTAAGAAGGGGGGTCTAAGAAGGGGGGTCTAAGAAGGGGGGTCTAAGAAGGGGGGTCTAAGAAGGGGGGTCTAAGAAGGGGGGTCTAAGAAGGGGGGTCTAAGAAGGGGGGTCTAAGAAGGGGGGTCTAAGAAGGGGGGTCTAAGAAGGGGGGTCTAAGAAGGGGGGTCTAAGAAGGGGGGTCTAAGAAGGGGGGGGTCTAAGAAGGGGGGTCTAAGAAGGGGGGTCTAAGAAGGGGGGTCTAAGAAGGGGGGTCTAAGAAGGGGGGAAGGGGGGGTCTAAGAAGGGGGGTCTAAGAAGGGGGGTCTAAGAAGGGGGGTCTAAGAAGGGGGGTCTAAGAAGGGGGGTCTAAGAAGGGGGGTCTAAGAAGGGGGGTCTAAGAAGGGGGGTCTAAGAAGGGGGGTCTAAGAAGGGGGGTCTAAGAAGGGGGGTCTAAGAAGGGGGGTCTAAGAAGGGGGGTCTAAGAAGGGGGGTCTAAGAAGGGGGGTCTAAGAAGGGGGGTCTAAGAAGGGGGGTCTAAGAAGGGGGGTCTAAGAAGGGGGGTCTAAGAAGGGGGGTCTAAGAAGGGGGGTCTAAGAAGGATGCGAGCACCCAGCACCGCCATCACCCACCATTTCATGGGAGTGCGCAGCTCGTGGCTCATGTTGGGCAGGAACTGTGTCTTGCCCAGTTAGCCACAATCACTCTACACCACTCACAGCTGATTCATACCCATCCCATCACCCAGCCCGCTTGCCTTTCAGAGTCGACTCAAAAGGTCGCAACCATTCAACTTTTGGTCTACCTTGCTTGCTCGACTGATTAGGAAACACATACATCCAGTTACTGCTAATGACTCACCATTCATGGGAGTGCGCAGCTCGTGACTCATGTTGGCCAGGAACTGTGTCTTGGCGCGGCTGGCTGCCTCTGCTGCTTCTTTGGCCTGCCGCAGCTCCTCCTCCCTCCTCTTGGCTTCTCTCATATCGTGCCACACCACGATCACACAGTCCCTCCCCGCTGCCACTATGTGCTGAAAGGAAAGGGGAAGGGAAGAAGGCATACAAACACAGCCAAGGGGAGGGACGTAAGGAGAGAGACAAAGGCTTGTCAGCATGTCCCTTTCTCTCCCTCCACCTGGCCTCCCTCATGTCGTGCCACACCACGATCACACAGTCCCACCCCGCTGCCACTATGTGCTGAAAGGAAAGGGGAAGACGAAACACACACAGGCAAGAAAACAGAGATAGAAGCTTTTCAAACCCCCCCATCCATCCCTCCGCTTGGCCTCCCCCGTGTAATCTTGTCACATTTGAGACGTCTCAAAAGCCTCCCCCGTGTAATCTTGTCACACCACAACTACACAGTCCCTCCCGGCGCCGCCAAAAAGCTGAATGCCGCTCCGCTCTGCACCCTCACCTCACCACCCACCCTCACTCTGCGTCGCACCAGCGCTGGCAGCTTCTCTCACCTTCACTCGCACCAACACAGGAAGGGGAGATTTGTAAAGAGCAGAATGCATCCAATCGAAACTAGTCGCCTCGCCGCTCTGCACGCGCGCCATCACCTCGCCAGCCATCCCCCAGGCTTGCTGTTCTCCTCGCGTTCACTTGCACCAGCCACACAACAACAACTCTCACCTTCACTCGCACAAGCACAGGCAGCGGCGACCCATCCAAGGCACAATGCATCCACTCAAAGCTGATGGCCTCGCCGCTCTGCACCCGCGCCATCACCTCGCCCGCCGCCTCGGCTGTCGGGCGGCCGTCCGGCTGCACGGGTGGCGAGAAGCTGACGTGGAACGCGCGGCTCATGACGCCTGCTTTGGAGGCGCAGCGCAGAATGGTTACCGCCGCCTCGTTGCAGTCCGTTATTGTCTCCTCGTGCAGACGGAAAATGAAGATTGGGTCCTGAAGGTGAGAAGAAAGAGAGGAAGAGAGGGTGTGGGGGGAGACAGAGTGAGGGAGGTGAAGTGGCCTCCTCGTTGCAGTCTGTCTGTTATTGCCTCTTCATGCAGGCGGAAAATGAGGGTTGGTTCCTGACATCTCCAGCGAAGGAGGGGAGGCGGAATGGCAGGGGCAGAGGGAGTGGCGAGGAGAACAAAACAGAACAAAACAAAACCAAGGCTAGAGGAAGGATTGGTGGGTACCATGGAAAGCTCGAAGACGGCTCGGTACTGCACGTTCTCCTCGCTCAGCCTCGCCACCTCCTCCATCCTCGCTAGTAGCTGCTCCGCTAAGGTGGCTTCTCCATCATCCCTATCCCCGTTATCAGTTATAACGCCACCACCACCATTTCCGCCTCCCCCACCCGCACGGGGATTGTTATCGATCAGTGCAGCAGCAGCTGCACCATCACCCACAGCACCTACACCACCATCACCATCACCACCACCATCACCATCACCATCACTATCCCCACAGGCCTCCTTGCCCCACGACCCCTGCACAACGTCTCTTTCTTTGGTTCAAATCACCCCTTCTGCTCAAATCACCCCTTCTGCCCAAGTTAACCGCCACCTGCCTTTCTTCAACCAGCAAACAGTGACCACTAACGGCTGCACCAGCCTTTGAGCCTTCACATATTCCTGCTGCTGCTGCTGCTGGTATTTCTGCTGCTGCGACTGTCGCTACTGTCCCTGTTGTTGTTACTGCCGTGGTTGCTGCCATTCCTCCTGCTGCAGTTTCCCCAGAGGGCGCAACGGCCTGTGATTGGCTCACTGCGTTCCTCAAACCCTGCGATTGGACCGCTGGCTCCCTCGTGCCCTGCGATTGGCTGACGGCGTCTCTCGAGCTCTGCGATTGGTCGGCAGCAGCAGTGCGGCACGGCAGCCGATCAGAGTGTGAGCGGAGCATGCAGGAGAGGCGCTCCAGGCGCGATCGCACTGCGTCCTGAGAGGGGTTGGGGTCGGTTGGGGCGGGTTGGGGCGGGTTGGGAGGGGTTGAGATTGGTGGTTGGGAAGGGGGTCCCTAAGGAGCATGCAGGAGAGTTTCTCAAAACTCAGCACAACGCAAAACGAATCCTTACACAACGGGATGAAACGCAATGAACGAAGAAAGCGGCTCACATAAATGGGCTGTTCCGACATAGCCCCTTCCGACGACGCATGATGCCGCCGCCTCTTCGCCTTTCGCACCGCGCCAAGCCCCTCCGCGCCAAGCTTCTCCGCCCCAAATCCCTCTGCGCCAAGCCCTTCTTCGCCAAGCCCCTCCGCTTCGCTGCCTGCTTCCGCCGCACTGCTCCCGCGGGGAAAGTTGACGCGCGCAACACTTCCGTCCGCGTCGTTTCCGCGGAGGAAAGCCTCGCGCGCAACGATGTCTTCCGCGCCGCTACTACCGCGGACAGCCTCGCGCGGAACTGCCGCCGACGGGACAGTGGCGCGCCGAGCGACAGTTCCGCCCGCCGCGCTGCCCCCATGAATCGCCGCTCCGTCTCGCCGTTCCGTCCCCCAACGCCCCGTCGCATGCTCCGCGTCCGATCCGCCCGGCCCCTGCCGATCCGCGCGGAAACCTGGGGGGGACTCGCTAATCGTCCGTGCGACAAATTTGTGCGATTTCTCAAAACCCTTATTTTTCTTAAATTCTTTAAAAAGTGTTTCCCGCCGAACCTCTTCCCCGCCTCTCGCTCCGCCCACCCCGCTCGCCGCTACGCGCTGCAAATTCGGTTCGAATGGGTCAATCTCCGCGTTATCGGCTCCCTCGGTAAGAGCACTGCGCACGTGGCAGCGACAGTAACAATCGCGCTGAAAAATCGCGGCTTTCGGGGTTTGAACCCGGCCCTTCTCTTCCCCGAAGTCTTCCTCTCTGATCGCCCCGCCTAGACCTTGAACCCCAGCTACGTCCGCTCCTCCTGTCGGGTCTCTAAAACGATTCGCCCCATTGCCTGCCGAATTTATCGCAACCTCTAAAAGAGTGCTCGTCGGGTCTAAAGGGGCAATTGTAACGTCTGAAGGAGCAATCACAGCGTTTGAAGGAGTAATCGCCGCGTCTAACAGAGTAACCGTCACGCGAGCCCAAAAAAACTCCTCGTCGCAAGTCGAAGCGCGTGTCGCCGCGCTTCGACAGGAGAGGCGAATGTTACAACATGCACTGCGTTCTAGGCCAGGAATTGGTTCGCTGGCAAAATGTGTTCCCGAAACAGCGAAGTGCTTAGAGTGTACGCGTCTAGGTTGACAATTCGAGGGGTCGATAGTGGAAGCAGTAGGAGTGTGTGGTGTGACGGACCGAAGTCTACCGACCGTTTCGAAGCAGCTCTGTAACGCGGACCAGTCTTCTGGGTGAACGTAGTTCGGATGGAAAGAACTCGCACGGCGCCATGGCTGCTTAAGTTCTCCTGGAGTCTAAAGCTGAAGCAAGCCGCCGTCGCTTCTGAAATCGCTCTCACTGCCTGGAAGCTATATCATGCCTAGCTCCCGGAAATAGATTACAAGAAGTACCCGGAATGCGCGGTCTTAGGTAACAGACGCAATGCGGAACATATGCTGGCGTGGAGGACACGCCATTCACCAGCAAAAATCATAGATATCATCAAGTAACATGTCAGAGCCCTGTTTCCCTCTTTCTCTCGATCTCGCCTCTCTCGCTCCAAACAAAACGCGCGGATCTATCATCCTTGTGTCTTCCTGACACATGGACTTTATCGGATTTTCAGGTGGTTCTGCTAGGACCAATAAAGAAGAAATGTGGTGTGCCTGAGAAGTTTGATTCACCCACCTTTGATGCAAAGGACCTGCACTTGCTGCTGGGTGGCAGACTGGCGGTTTTGATGACGAGGGGAGGCTTGGTCGAGACGAGAGGTTCACCGACAATAGCCACGAAGTCTGGGATGGAGGGTTTGTTTGTGGGTTTTCAGCTTAGCGGGGAGGGGTATCCCGACTCCTCCGCTTTCAGGTTAGGGGTAGCGCTTTGTGCGCACAGTTTCCGCTAAAGGCTGGGCTAGGGGGGGAGGGTTATTGTTCAGGTTAGGGAATCGAGCTCTCAATGAGCCACGTGTTCAGCTTTTCACAGAGAGCTCACTGTAGGTGTTTGAGTTACAGATTCTCCACTGCTCTGGTTGTCGTTTCTACACAATAAATTACACTCGAAATACCCCAACGGACACGCGAAGAAACAAAATAAACCCCAGTCGGGAAGGCATCCAGTTAGGGAGGCATCAACCCTAAACACCTTGTGGCATGGTGTTTAGGGTTGGTGCCCCCGCGGACGCATTTTAGGGAGGAATCAACCCTAAACACGGGACCCCTCCTTCTTGTTAGGGTTGATGCCTCCCGAGTCACACCCATTCCCGACTGGGTTTAATTTGTTTCGGTCAGAAGGGTGCACTATATTCTCAGGGTTTCGGATGTAATTTGGACGAAAAAAAAAAACAACGGCCACACAACCTTCGGAACAGTCGGGTGACGGGCTACCCCGAACGTGGGCTGGATTCGGTAGAAAAGACAAGCAGACGCACGGCAGAATCTGATATTTTTTATGTACAGTGAGCGAGCTGTGTAGAACTAACCACGTGGCTCATTGAGAGCTCGAATCCCTAACCTGAACAATAACCCTCCCCCCCTAGCCCAGACTTTTGCGGAAACTGTGCGCAGATAGCGCTGACCGTTCCCTGAAAGCAGAGGGGTCCAGATACATGTCCCCGCTAAGCTGAAAACCCTTTGTTTGTGGTTGACTGACTGAACTTGTGTGTGGTTGGATGTTCTTCTGGGGTGCGTGTGTGTGTGTGTGTGTGTGATTGTGTGAGGTCTGCCGCTGGGTGGCGCGAATGGCGGTGACAGCGCAGGAAGGGAGAGGGCATCTGAGCCAAGGCTGGCTTGCTCTCAGCCTGCATCAGATAGGGTAGCTGATGCGATGCGTGCTCTTTTGCGTTGCAATGCTGTCATCAATATTTTTCTTCGGGCTGTTTCCTAAGAAGCTCTTTCCCTCCTGTACTCGAATTTGGGCTACTGTACTGTAGTCGCTTCCCTACTTCCAGGCGAGAACGAGGATACGTGTACACGTACATGATGTTTACAGGCATCGACGTACATTTAGCTGATGTGCCCTGTAATTATCTGACAGGATCTCGCTGATGTTGCACTGTTCTCTGAACGGCACAACTGTCCAAGCATGTTCGCTGCCGAGGCGTCAAATTTGCAATGCTTTCCTCAGCGTCTCGTCGCCGCGCACAGCGAGGGCCAATAAGCTTGCGGAAATCGCAGCACAAGAAGGTCCACGCTTGCGAGCAGCTTGGGACCAGGCCAAGCCTTGCTGGCTTCGAGAAGTGAGGCCTCAGATCAGGTCACTCCGTTCACGTGATTGTCAATAGATCAGAATCGAATCTCGACGACGCTGTAGCGGCTGCACTGCACATCACATTGCTTCGTGTGTCGTTTTTCCGCGCCAGGAGCTCGTCCTACCAAACAGCCATACTCGATGAGATAATCGCCACTACTACGTTGATCACCTAGACACTACAGGTTTTGACAATAGTATTCCATGAGCCACCACTCAGTTTGAATGGAACTTATACCAGTACTTATGCAACACCCATAATAAGCTTTTCCTGCTCATCCAACTTCTTCACTTGCATGAGGCCGATCAGCACACGCATTCCAAATACGGCACTGGCCAGCAGGAGCAATGTAGCAGGCGTTTTGCGGGCGGCAATGTGCATGGCTGAAGCAACATTCACCAAGGTGGCTGCTGCTATGGCCTGTAAGAGTGAAAAACATGCAACAGCACGAAAAGGTGAGGGGGTTCCGTGATGTGACTGATAGACACAAACAGATCAAGGGGAAGACCAAGGCATTGAACACATGGTGAGCCTATGTGGTGTGGACAGGGTGAGCAAGCAGGTTTCTTACGCTGCCAATGGTGTTTTGCATAGTGGCCACTCTCTTAAACGCCCTCTCGTTCTCCAGAGTCCGCACTCTCAGCTTCAAGTCACCTTGCTCCTGCGGATTGGCAAGGAGGAGAGAGAGGAACGAGGATGTGGATGGGTATGCATAGCCATGATGTACACATGCAAATAGGTGTGCGTGCATCTGCGGCATTCCAGTAACCGTCAACAGCGCCTAGACCACAGATGAGACAACAGCGAATGATCAGATTCCACCATCTCAAGAAGCCTAGAACAACGCTTAGACCACAGATAGCAAAGCACAGTCCAACAAATGGGCACTCGTGGCACATACCAGTCTCAGGATGACGTCAGCAAGCTTCTCCACGCGGCTGGGCTGCCTGAGAAGGTTCCGGAAGGCCTGCGACTGGCGGTCCCACCGCTTCCTCAGCTCCTGCTCACCGACACAGCATTGGTAGGAACGAATGGGGAAGAAAGTTGATGCGAAGAACAGGCATGACTAAGCAATTGATGCAATTACACGACAACCCTCTCACTCACATGCATAGGAAGGAGTGCAAGGAGTTCCCATGGCAACCCGCTCTCACACATGGCATAGCATCACTATTTGAGAGTGCAGCAACAGGGGCTCACTTGAATGAGAAAGAGCACTGGACCCAGAGATCTTCTTCTTTATGCCTTGAAATTGCCATCGTCTAGGGCTCACCTTGAAAGTGATTTTTGAGAATTCTAAAAAATCACTCGCAAGGGCTCACCTTGAAAAAGAGCTCGGAGCCGACCTCCCTGAAGCGAAGCAGCTCTTGAGTCGACTCAAAAGTCACCTCGTTAGAATGGCACATGACACAATCGAGAGTGCGAGGACAGGCTCACCTTAAGAAGAGCTCAGATCCCACGTCCCTGAAGCGAAGCAGCTCTTGAGTCAACTCAAAAGTCACCTCGTTAGAATGGCACATGACACAATCGAGAGTGCGAGGACAGGCTCACCTTGAAAAAGAGCTCGGAGCCGACCTCCCTGAATCGAAGCAGCTCAAGCGCATAGCTGAGCGAGGAGATAGATCGTTTGGGGTCGATATGGGAGGGGTGGGGGGAAATTCGAGAGTGGTGAAAGGCAGAAGACAGCAGAAGGGGAGAGAGCAGGAGAAGAGGAGGGGGAAGAGCATCAGAAAGGGAGAGGAATGCAGAGAAGTAGGGAAGTGTGTTGGGTGGGGTGGGGAAAAAGCAGAAGGAGCAGGGATCGGCAGAAGAAAAGGGAGCAACAGAATAGGAGGCGAAGGGGAGGACAAGAGGGCGTACGGCTTGGCAATCTCGGAGATGTCAAACTTGGCGTCCAGCCCCTTGCCAATGCCATCCAGCACTGAGAAGGCCCGCACCACAAAGGTGAAGCTGCAGGGGGGGAGAGGAGGGGTGCAATGCGGGGGGTTGGGTTGAAGAATCTTAGGGGGCAGTGGAGCCAAGGACGCCCCTTGCCAATGCCGTCCAGCACTGAGAAGGCGCGCACCACAAAGGTGAAGCTGCAGGGAGAGAGATGAGTTGTGGGCGGGTGAGATGTTGAAGAATTAGGGGAAAGTGGAGTAAAGCAGGGCCCTTACCAATGCCGGAGCATTGAGAGGGGTTTCTCCCTCCACAAAGGTCATTCTGTGCAGAGATCCTTCTAAACGAGAGTGCCACAATATGAGTGAAGCTGTGTGGCGACTGTGCCATCTGCTGCTGAACCATGCCATGCCATGCCATGCCATGCCATGCCATGCCACAAAGTAAACCCCGAGGTACTTACGTGGCTGGGAATCGGAAGGGCTGATCTGCTGCGATGGCCAACAGGTCCTCTCCTGTTGGAGGGGCATGGAGGGCACATGAGGACGGAGCACATGAGAGGGCAGTCAGACAAAGAGGAAACGCGAAACAGAAGGAGAATGAACAAGTCTGCTTGTAGGTGGACTTCACTGCATCGCAGGTGGTTTTCGAGAAATCTGATGAAACCTCCACTGCCATCAGCACAGCAAGCCCCTCTCACCAATAGCAGAAAGCCTCATCTTCCTCTTTGCCAATGCTTCCTCCTTAGTCATGGGGGCGCTCGCCTTGGCCTCTGCCTGCTGCTGTGCCAAACGCTCCTCGTGCAAGCCCCACCATGAGCATCAGCACAGCAAGACCCACTCACCGATAGCGGACAGGCGCATCTTGCGTTTCGCTAAGGCCTCCTCCTTAGTCATGGGGGCGCTCGCCTTGGCCTCTGCCTGCTGCTGTGCCAAACGCTCCTCGTGCAAGCCCCACCATGAGCATCAGCACAGCAAGACCCACTCACCGATAGCGGACAGGCGCATCTTGCGTTTCGCTAAGGCCTCCTCCTTAGTCATGGGCGCACTCGCCTTGGCCTCTGCCTGCTGCTGTGCCAGGCGCTCCTCGTGCAAGCCCCACCATGAGAATCAGCACAGCAAGACCCACTCACCGATAGCAGACAGCCGCATCTTCCTCTTAGCGAGTGCTTCTTCCTTAGTCATAAGCGCACTCGCCTTGGCCTCCGCCTGCTGCTGCGCCAGGCGCTCCTCAAACGAGTTGAGGAAGAACTGGGCCGTGCGGTCGCCTTCACCTGTTCGCATCCTCAACACAGGCAAAACTCACCGATAGCGGAGAGGCGCATCTTCCTCTTGGCCAATGCTTCCTCTTTCGACAAGGGAGCGCTCGCCTTAGCCTCCGCCTGCTGCTGTGCCAGGCGCTCCTCAAACGAGTTGAGGAAGAACTGGGCCGTGCGCCGCACAGCCGTGCGATCCCCTGTGGGCACGAGCACGCCCATCTGAACCATGGCGTCCAGCACCTTGTCAGGGTCCTTCTCATACACCCCGTAGAACGCTTCAACCAGGCCTTCGCGGATGTCGGATGGGATACTGCAAGCAGAAGAGGGGAGAGAGAGAGGGGAGGAGGGTAGACTTTGCTATTGTCACCACCGAGTGTTCAGAGCGATCAGGTTGGGAGGGACGGAGGGACGGAGGGGGGGAGGGAGGGAGGGAGGGAAGAAGGAGGAGGGGAGGGTGGGTGCGGTCCCCAGTGGGCACGAGCACGCCCATCTGAACCATGGCGTCCAGCACCTTGTCAGGGTCCTTCTCATACACCCCGTAGAACGCTTCAACCAGGCCTTCGCGGATGTCGGATGGGATACTGCAAGCAGAAGAGGGGAGAGAGAGAGGGGAGGAGGGTAGACTTTGCTATTGTCACCACCGAGTGTTCAGAGCGATCAGGTTGGGAGGGACGGAGGGACGGAGGGGGGGAGGGAGGGAGGGAGGGAAGAAGGAGGAGGGGAGGGTGGGTGCGGTCCCCAGTGGGCACGAGCACGCCCATCTGCACCATGGCGTCCAGCACCTTGTCAGGGTCCTTCTCATACACGCCGTAAAACGCCTCTACTAGACCCTCACGGATATCCGACGGGATGCTGCACAGGGAGCACGAGGCACGGAGGAAGTGGGGGAGAGGGGGAGGGGGAAGCTAGAGTGGCTGCATCAGGTGTTCAGAGCGGTCCGGTTGGGTGGGTGTAAGGAGGAAGGGACGGAGGGCGGGTAGAGTGGGGTGTAGGCACGAGCACGCCCATCTGCACCATGGCGTCCAGCACCTTGTCAGGGTCCTTCTCATACACGCCGTAGAATGCCTCTACCAACCCCTCCCGGATATCCGACGGGATGCTGCACGGGGGACACAGCACAGGGTACAGAGGCAGGGTTGAGGGAGGGGAGATTGGGTCCCCGGTGGGCACGAGCACGCCCATCTGCACCATGGCGTCTAACACCTTGTCTGGGTCCTTCTCATACGACGATTCCACTAATCCATCCCGAAAGTCTGAGGGGATGCGGCAGGTGGGTTGCAGGGAGGAGGGAGTAGCAGGAAAGTGAGTGGCAGATAGCAACTTTGCCGGGGCCCTTCTCATACACCCCGTGAAACGCTTCTACCAACCCCTCACAGATGACATGGTCGTCCTCACGGATGTCAGAGGGGATACTGAATGGACGACATGGAGAAGTGAGAACGTGACATTCACAGGGTTCTACCGACCAACAAAGAAAAAGAACGAATGGGGGGGGCGAGTGGGACCACGGGGATGCATGCACTTGTGACCTGAGAACAATCGCTCAAGTGGTGTCAACTGGATCATGTTAGGTAGTGGTTAGAGAAGCTTACCTTCCCATCATGCCGAAATCATAGAAGATGCTGTGACAGGATCAGAAGCGTCGGGTGATGGGGTCATGGCCAACAGAATGATGCAAAAACGAGGTAGCAGCAGCGGAAGCAGCAACATTGGCAGCCGCAGTGACGGTGGCAGTGGTTGTACGAGCAGGAATGAGGACCAAGTGAGGCAGAGAGATAACAACAAGGGCCAGAGGGAAGACACACAAGAGAGGAAAACGGAAACGGTAAAGTCAGAGGGAAGTACGGAAATGAGAAAGACAACGTGCATAGCTGAAAGCAAAGCAGCATGCTTTGAGGTGATAAGAGCACATGCAGTGGTCAACATGTGATGTGATTGACGAAGTGTATGTATGGCTGCATGCCCTCAGAGTTGGCTGTGCGTGGCGGCATGTGTTTCTATGGGCGAATGGGTACGTGGGTGCGTAAGTATATGGTTGCATGAGTGCATGGATGCGCAGGTACATGGGTGCATGAGTGCATGGGTGCCGTGGGTCTAAGGGCGTGGGTCTAAGGGCGTGGGTCTAAGGGCGTGGGTCTAAGGGCGTGGGTCTAAGGGCGTGGGTCTGAGGGCATGGGTCTAAGGGCGTGGGTCTAAGGGCGTGGGTCTAAGGGCGTGGGTCTAAGGGCGTGGGTCTAAGGGCGTGGGTCTAAGGGCGTGGGTCTAAGGGCGTGGGTCTAAGGGCGTGGGTCTAAGGGCGTGGGTCTAAGAGCGTGGGTCTCAGGGCTTGGGTCTAAGGTGAGTCTAAGGGGGTGGGTCTAAGGCCGTGGGTCTAAGGGCGTGGGTCTCAGGGCTTGGTCTAAGGGCGTGGGTCTAAGGGCGTGGGTCTAAGGGCGTGGGTCTAAGGGCGTGGGTCTAAGGGCGTGGGTCTAAGGGCGTGGGTCTAAGGGCGTGGGTCTAAGGGCGTGGGTCTAAGGGCGTGGGTCTAAGGGCGTGGGTCTGAGGGCATGGGTCTGAGGGCGTGGGTCTGAGGGCGTGGGTCTGAGGGCGTGGGTCTAAGGGCATGGGTCTAGGCGCGTGGGTCTAAGGGCGTGGGTCTAAGGGCGTGGGTCTAAGGGCGTGGGTCTAAGGGCGTGGGTCTAAGGGCGTGGGTCTAAGGGCGTGGGTCTAAGGGCGTGGGTCTAAGGGCGTGGGTCTAAGGGCGTGGGTCTAAGGGCGTGGGTCTAAGGGCGTGGGTCTAAGGGCGTGGGTCTAAGGGCGTGGGTCTAAGGGCGTGGGTCTAAGGGCGTGGGTCTAAGCGCGTGGGTCTAAGCGCGTGGGTCTAGGCGCGTGGGTCTAGGGCCGTGGGTCTAAGGGCGTGGGTCTAAGGGCGTGGGTCTAAGGGCGTGGGTCTAAGGGCGTGGGTCTAAAGCCGTGGGTCTAAGGGCGTGGGTCTAAGGGCGTGGGTCTAAGGGCGTGGGTCTAAGGGCGTGGGTCTAAGGGCGTGGGTCTAAGGGCGTGGGTCTAAGGGCGTGGGTCTAAGGGCGTGGGTCTAAGGGCGTGGGTCTAAGGGCGTGGGTCTAAGGGCGTGGGTCTAAGGGCGTGGGTCTAAGGGCGTGGGTCTAAGGGCGTGGGTCTAAGGGCGTGGGTCTAAGGGCGTGGGTCTAAGGGCGTGGGTCTAAGGGCGTGGGTCTAAGGGCGTGGGTCTAAGGGCGTGGGTCTAAGGGCGTGGGTCTAAGGGCGTGGGTCTAAGGGCGTGGGTCTAAGGGCGTGGGTCTAAGGGCGTGGGTCTAAGAGCGTGGGTCTCAGGGCTTGGGTCTAAGGGCGTGAGTCTAAGGGCGTGGGTCTAAGGACGTGGGTCTAAGGGCGTGGGTCTCAGGGCTTGGTCTAAGGGCGTGGGTCTAAGGGCGTGGATCTAAGGGCGTGGTTCTAAGTGCATGGGTCTAAGGGCGTGGGTCTAAGGGCGTGGGTCTAAGGGCGTGGGTCTAAGGGCGTGGGTCTAAGGGCGTGGGTCTGAGGGCGTGGGTCTGAGGGCATGGGTCTAAGGGCGTGGGTCTAAGGGCGTGGGTCTAAGGGCGTGGGTCTAAGGGCGTGGGTCTAAGGGCGTGGGTCTAAGGGCGTGGGTCTAAGGGCGTGGGTCTAAGGGCGTGGGTCTAAGGGCGTGGGTCTAAGGGCGTGGGTCTAAGGGCGTGGGTCTAAGGGCGTGGGTCTAAGGGCGTGGGTCTAAGGGCGTGGGTCTAAGGGCGTGGGTCTAAGGGCGTGAGTCTAAGCGCGTGGGTCTAAGCGTGTGGGTCTAAGGGCGTGGGTCTAAGGGCGTGGGTCTAAGGGCGTGGGTCTAAGGGCGTGGGTCTAAGGGCGTGGGTCTAAGCGCGTGGGTCTAAGCGCGTGGGTCTAAGCGCGTGGGTCTAAGCGCGTGGGTCTAAGCGCGTGGGTCTAAGCGCGTGGGTCTATGCGCGTGGGTCTAAGGGCGTGGGTCTAAGGGCGTGGGTCTAAGGGCGTGGGTCTAAGGGCGTGGGTCTAAGGGCGTGGGTCTAAGGGCGTGGGTCTAAGCGCGTGGGTCTAAGCGCGTGGGTCTAAGCGCGTGGGTCTCAGGGCGTGGGTCTCAGGGCGTGGGTCTAAGGGCGCGGGTTTAAGGGCGTGGGTCTAAGGGCGTGGGTCTAAGGGCGTGGGTCTAAGGGCGTGGGTCTAAGGGCGTGGGTCTAAGGGCGTGGGTCTAAGGGCGTGGGTCTAAGGGCGTGGGTCTAAGGGCGTGGGTCTAAGGGCGTGGGTCTAAGGGCGTGGGTCTAAGGGCGTGGGTCTAAGTGCGTGGGTCTAAGCGTGTGGGTCTAAGGGCGTGGGTCTAAGGGCGTGGGTCTAAGGGCGTGGGTCTAAGGGCGTGGGTCTAAGGGCGTGGGTCTAAGGGCGTGGGTCTAAGGGCGTGGGTCTAAGGGCGTGGGTCTAAGAGCGTGGGTCTCAGGGCTTGGGTCTAAGGGCGTGAGTCTAAGGGCGTGGGTCTAAGGCCGTGGGTCTAAGGGCGTGGGTCTCAGGGCTTGGTCTAAGGGCGTGGGTCTAAGGGCGTGGATCTAAGGGCGTGGTTCTAAGTGCATGGGTCTAAGGGCGTGGGTCTAAGGGCGTGGGTCTAAGGGCGTGGGTCTAAGGGCGTGGGTCTAAGGGCGTGGGTCTGAGGGCGTGGGTCTGAGGGCGTGGGTCTGAGGGCGTGGGTCTGAGGGCGAGGGTCTAAGGGCGTGGGTCTAAGGGCGTGGGTCTAAGGGCGTGGGTCTAAGGGCGTGGGTCTAAGGGCGTGGGTCTAAGGGCGTGGGTCTAAGGGCGTGGGTCTAAGGGCGTGGGTCTAAGGGCGTGGGTCTAAGGGCGTGGGTCTAAGGGCGTGGGTCTAAGGGCGTGGGTCTAAGGGCGTGGGTCTAAGGGCGTGGGTCTAAGGGCGTGGGTCTAAGGGCGTGGGTCTAAGGGCGTGGGTCTAAGGGCGTGGGTCTAAGGGCGTGGGTCTAAGGGCGTGGGTCTAAGGGCGTGGGTCTAAGCGCGTGGGTCTAAGCGCGTGGGTCTAAGCGCGTGGGTCTAAGCGCGTGGGTCTAAGCGCGTGGGTCTATGCGCGTGGGTCTAAGGGCGTGGGTCTAAGGGCGTGGGTCTAAGGGCGTGGGTCTAAGGGCGTGGGTCTAAGGGCGTGGGTCTAAGGGCGTGGGTCTAAGGGCGTGGGTCTAAGGGCGTGGGTCTAAGGGCGTGGGTCTAAGGGCGTGGGTCTAAGGGCGTGGGTCTAAGGGCGTGGGTCTAAGGGCGTGGGTCTAAGGGCGTGGGTCTAAGGGCGTGGGTCTAAGGGCGTGGGTCTAAGGGCGTGGGTCTAAGGGCGTGGGTCTAAGGGCGTGGGTCTAAGGGCGTGGGTCTAAGGGCGTGGGTCTAAGGGCGTGGGTCTAAGGGCGTGGGTCTAAGGGCGTGGGTCTAAGGGCGTGGGTCTAAGGGCGTGGGTCTAAGGGCGTGGGTCTAAGGGCGTGGGTCTAAGGGCGTGGGTCTAAACGCGTGGGTCTAAGGGCGTGGGTCTCAACGCGTGGGTCTAAGAGCGTGGGTCTAAGGGCGTGGGTCTAAGGGCGTGGGTCTAAGGGCGTGGGTCTAAGGGCGTGGGTCTAAGGGCGTGGGTCTAAGGGCGTGGGTCTAAGGGCTTGGGTCTAAAGGTATGGGTCTAAGGGCGTGGGTCTAAGGGCGTGGGTCTAAGGGCGTGGGTCTAAGCGCGTAGGTCTAAGGGCGTGGGTCTAAGGGCGTGGGTCTAAGGGCGTGGGTCTAAGGGCGTGGGTCTAAGCGCGTGGGTCTAAGCGCGTGGGTCTAAGCGGGTGGGTCTAAGGGCGTGGGTCTAAGGGCGTGGGTCTAAGGGCGTGTGTCTAAAGCCGTGGGTCTAAGGGCGTGGGTCTAAGGGCGTGGGTCTAAGCCCGTGGGTCTAAGGGCGTGGGTCTAAGGGCGTGGGTCTAAGGGCGTGGGTCTAAGGGCGTGGGTCTAAGGGCGTGGGTCTAAGGGCGTGGGTCTAAGGGCGTGGGTCTAAGGGCGTGGGTCTAAGGGCGTGGGTCTAAGGGCGTGGGTCTAAGGGCGTGGGTCTAAGGGCGTGGGTCTAAGGGCGTGGGTCTAAGGGCGTGGGTCTAAGGGCGTGGGTCTAAGGGCGTGGGTCTAAGGGCGTGGGTCTAAGGGCGTGGGTCTAAGGGCGTGGGTCTAAGGGCGTGGGTCTAAGGGCGTGGGTCTAAGGGCGTGGGTCTAAGAGCGTGGGTCTAAGAGCGTGGGTCTAAGAGCGTGGGTCTAAGGGCGTGGGTCTAAGGGCGTGGGTCTAAGGGCGTGGGTCTAAGGGCGTGGGTCTAAGGGCGTGGGTCTAAGGGCGTGGGTCTAAGGGCGTGGGTCTAAGCGCGTGGGTCTAACCGCGTGGGTCTAAGCGCGTGGGTCTAAGCGCGTGGGTCTATGCGCGTGGGTCTAAGGGCGTGGGTCTAAGGGCGTGGGTCTAAGGGCGTGGGTCTAAGGGCGTGGGTCTAAGGGCGTGGGTCTAAGGGCGTGGGTCTAAGCACGTGGGTCTAAGGGCGTGGGTCTAAGGGCGTGGGTCTAAGGGCGTGGGTCTAAGGGCGTGGGTCTAAGGGCGTGGGTCTAAGGGCGTGGGTCTAAGGGCGTGGGTCTAAGGGCGTGGGTCTAAGGGCGTGGGTCTAAGGGCGTGGGTCTAAGGGCGTGGGTCTAAGGGCGTGGGTCTAAGGGCGTGGGTCTAAGGGCGTGGGTCTAAGGGCGTGGGTCTAAGGGCGTGGGTCTAAGGGCGTGGGTCTAAGGGCGTGGGTCTAAGGGCGTGGGTCTAAGGGCGTGGGTCTAAGAGCGTGGGTCTAAGGGCGTGGGTCTAAACGCGTGGGTCTAAGGGCGTAGGTTTAAGGGCGTGGGTCTAAGGGCGTGGGTCTAAGGGCGTGGGTCTAAGGGCGTGGGTCTAAGGGCGTGGGTCTAAGGGCGTGGGTCTAAGGGCGTGGGTCTAAGGGCGTGGGTCTAAGGGCGTGGGTCTAAGGGCGTGGGTCTAAGGGCGTGGGTCTAAGGGCGTGGGTCTAAGGGCGTGGGTCTAAGGGCGTGGGTCTAAGGGCGTGGGTCTAAGGGCGTGGGTCTAAGGGCGTGGGTCTAAGGGCGTGGGTCTAAGGGCGTGGGTCTAAGGGCGTGGGTCTAAGGGCGTGGGTCTAAGGGCGTGGGTCTAAGGGCGTGGGTCTAAGGGCGTGGGTCTAAGGGCGTGGGTCTAAGGGCGTGGGTCTAAAGCCGTGGGTCTAAGGGCGTGGGTCTAAGGGCGTGGGTCTAAGGGCGTGGGTCTAAGGGCGTGGGTCTAAGGGCGTGGGTCTAAGGGCGTGGGTCTAAGGGCGTGGGTCTAAGGGCGTGGGTCTAAGGGCGTGGGTCTAAGGGCGTGGGTCTAAGGGCGTGGGTCTAAGGGCGTGGGTCTAAGGGCGTGGGTCTAAGGGCGTGGGTCTAAACGCGTGGGTCTAAGGGCGTGGGTCTAAGGGCGTGGGTCTAAGGGCGTGGGTCTAAGGGCGTGGGTATAAGGGCGAGGGTCTAAGCGTGTGGGTCTAGGCGCGTGGGTCTAGGCGCGTGGGTCTAAGGGCGTGGGTCTAAGGGCGTGGGTCTAAGGGCGTGGGTCTAAGGGCGTGGGTCTAAGGGCGTGGGCCTAAGCGCGTGGGTCTAAGGGCGTGGGTCTAAGGGCGTGGGTCTAAGGGCGTGGGTCTAAGGGCGTGGGTCTAAGGGCGTGGGTCTAAGGGCGTGGGTCTAAGGGCGTGGGTCTAAGGGCGTGGGTCTAAGGGCGTGGGTCTAAGGGCGTGGGTCTAAGGGCGTGGGTCTAAGGGCGTGGGTCTAAGGGCGTGGGTCTAAGGGCGTGGGTCTAAGGGCGTGGGTCTAAGGGCGTGGGTCTAAGGGCGTGGGTCTAAGGGCGTGGGTCTAAGGGCGTGGGTCTAAGGGCGTGGGTCTAAGGGCGTGGGTCTAACGGCGTGGGTGTAAGGGCGTAGGTTTAAGGGCGTGGGTCTAAGGGCGTGGGTCTAAGAGCGTGGGTCTAAGGGCGTGGGTCTAAGGGCGTGGGTCTAAGGGCGTGGGTCTAAGGGCGTGGGTCTAAGGGCGTGGGTCTAAGGGCGTGGGTCTAAGGGCGTGGGTCTAAGGGCGTGGGTCTAAGCGTGTGGGTGTAACGGCGTGGGTCTAAGGGCGTGGGTCTAAGGGCGTGGGTCTAAGGGCGTGGGTCTAAGCGCGTGGGTCTAAGCGCGTGGGTCTAAGCGCGTGGGTCTAAGCGCGTGGGTCTATGCGCGTGGGTCTAAGGGCGTGGGTCTAAGGGCGTGGGTCTAAGGGCGTGGGTCTAAGGGCGTGGGTCTAAGGGCGTGGGTCTAAGGGCGTGGGTCTAAGCACGTGGGTCTAAGCGCGTGGGTCTAAGCGCGTGGGTCTCAGGGCGTGGGTCTCAGGGCGTGGGTCTAAGGGCGCGGGTTTAAGGGCGTGGGTCTAAGGGCGTGGGTCTAAGGGCGTGGGTCTAAGGGCGTGGGTCTAAGGGCGTGGGTCTAAGGGCGTGGGTCTAAGGGCGTGGGTCTAAGGGCGTGGGTCTAAGGGCGTGGGTCTAAGGGCGTGGGTCTAAGGGCGTGGGTCTAAGCGCGTGGGTCTAAGCGCGTGGGTCTAAGGGCATGGGTGGAAGCGCGTGGGTCTAAGCGGGTGGGTATAAGGGCGTGGGTCTAAGGGCGTGGGTCTGAGGGCTTGGGTCTAAGGGCGTGGGTCTAAGGGCGTGGGTCTAAGGGCGTGGGTCTAAGGGCGTGGGTCTAAGGGTGTGGGTCTAAGGGCGCGGGTCTAAGGGCGTGGGTCTAAACGCGTGGATCTAAGGGCGTGGGTCTAAGCTCGTGGGTCTAAGGGCGTGGGTCTAAGGGCGTGGGTCTAAGGGCGTGGGTCTAAGGGCGTGGGTCTAAGGGCGTGGGTCTAAGGGCGTGGGTCTAAAGCCGTGGGTCTAAGGGCGTGGGTCTAAGGGCGTGGGTCTAAGGGCGTGGGTCTAAGGGCGTGGGTCTAAGGGCGTGGGTCTAAGGGCGTGGGTCTAAGGGCGTGGGTCTAAACGCGTGGATCTAAGGGCGTGGGTCTAAGCGCGTAGGTCTAAGGGCGTGGGTCTAAGGGCGTGGGTCTAAGGGCGTGGGTCTAAGGGCGTGGGTCTAAGGGCGTGGGTCTAAGGGCGTGGGTCTAAAGCCGTGGGTCTAAGGGCGTGGGTCTAAGGGCGTGGGTCTAAGCGTGTGGGTCTAAGGGCGTGGGTCTAAGGGCGTGGGTCTAAGGGCGTGGGTCTAAGGGCGTGGGTCTAAGGGCGTGGGTCTAAGGGCGTGGGTCTAAGGGCGTGGGTCTAAGGGCGTGGGTCTAAGGGCGTGGGTCTAAGGGCGTGGGTCTAAACGCGTGGGTCTAAGGGCGTGGGTCTAAGGGCGTGGGTCTAAGGGCGTGGGTCTAAGGGCGTGGGTCTAAGGGCGTGGGTCTAAGGGCGTGGGTCTAAGCGCGTGGGTCTAGGCGCGTGGGTCTAGGCGCGTGGGTCTAAGGGCGTGGGTCTAAGGGCGTGGGTCTAAGGGCGTGGGTCTAAGGGCGTGGGTCTAAGGGCGTGGGTCTAAGGGCGTGGGTCTAAGGGCGTGGGTCTAAGGGCGTGGGTCTAAGGGCGTGGGTCTAAGGGCGTGGGTCTAAGGGCGTGGGTCTAAGTGGCGACGGGCGGTGTGTACAAGACCCGAGAACGTATTCACCATAGCGTAGCTGATCTATGATTACTAGTGATTTCAACTTCATGAGGTCGAGTTTCAGACCTCAATCCGAACTGAGGTTAGTTTTTGAGATTAGCTTACTCTTGCAAGTTTGCAACTCTTTGTCCTAACCATTGTAGCACGTGTGTAGCCCAAAGCATAAGGGGCATGAAGACCAGACGTCATCCTCTCCTTCCTCCAAGTTGCCTTGGCGGTCTGCTTAGAGTTCTCAACTTAATGTTAATAAGGCAGCATGGGTGCACGGGTGCATGGGTACATGGGTACGTGACTTACAGACGGCCGCCGTTAACATCATCCACTGCAATGTTGCCAGGATGCTGCATGGATGGACAAACGAAGGGGACGAGGGGCATGCCACACGAAGTCAAACGCATATAAAATGGATGGATGGATGGTCGGATGTGCACACATGCAGGCTAACACATATGCACACATGAACACGCATGCAGGTGAAAAGCATATGGCCGGAAGCGGGAAAAATGCACGAGAGAAAGCACGCATGGGTGCAGCAGCAGCAGCAGCAGCAGCACCACCACCACCACCAGCAGCACCATAACTGACATCAGCCAAAGCCCCAACCCCAGCACCAGCATCACCACGAACACCAGCAGACACCCACCGGGTCGGCATGGAAGAATCCGTGGCTGAGGATCTGCTCCAGGTACGACTCCACACAGTAGCGAGCCAGCCTGTAACGAGGACGACAGGAGAATGAGAAAAATTGCAGTTTATCCCCTGCATTGACGCGGTTGTTCTGGATAAGCTCCACAGATGCGGCGTGCGAACCCCCCTCTCCTCCCACACCTCCCGCCCTATGACTACTCCATTCCACCCAAACCACAACCTCTCTGCAGCTTTTCCAAAGCGTCGATGCGGGTGATCTTCATTTCAGGCGAGTGTTCCATCACCAACAGCTGCACCAGTGTGTGTATGTGAAGTGAACCTCCCTTCTCCCAACTCCACTCTTCCAGAGCACCCCAACCAGAGCCCATCTCGCACCTCTTCCTGTCGACCTTGAGCTTATCCAGAGCATCAATCCTGTTGATCTTGATCCCAGGTGTGTATTCCATCACCAGCATCTAGGCCGTGCTGTACTGCCAGTATATCTTGGGCACCCCCTCCTCACCCCAACCCCACTCGCTCCCAGTGCCCACCTCTTCCTGTCCACCTTGAGCTTGTCCAGAGCGTCAATCCTGTTGATCTTGATGCCCGGAGTGTACTCCATCACCAGCATCTAGGCCGTGCTGTACTGCCAGTAAACCTTGGGCACCCCCTCCTCACCCCAACCCCACTCGCCCCCAACAACCCACTCGCCCCCAGTGCCCACCTCTTCCTGTCAACCTTGAGCTTATCCAGAGCATCAATCCAATTGATCTTGATCCCTGGAGTCACTCCAGCGGAGTGTACTCCATCACCAGCATCTGCGACGTCGTGTTCTGCCAGTACACCTTGGCCGCCCCTTCCTCACCCCAACCCCACTCGCCCTCACAAACCCGTACCTCTTCCGGTCGACCTTGAGCTTATCCAGTGCGTCAATCCTGTTGATCTTGATGCCCGGAGTGTATTCCATCACCAGCATCTGGGAAGTCGTGTACTGCCAGTAGACTTTGGCCGCCCCCTCCTCACCCCAACCCAACCCACTCGCCCCCAATGCCCACCTCTTCCTGTCGACCTTGAGCTTATCCAGAGCATCAATCCTGTTAATCTTGATGCCGGGAGTGTATTCCATCACCAGCATCTGCGAAGTCGTGTACTGCCAGTATATCTTGGGCACAACCTCCTCACCCCAACCCCACTCGCCCCCAGTGCTCACCTCTACCTGCCTCCCCCACGAACCCCAATATCCCTCCAACCCAGACCATGGCCTGTACCTCTTCCTGTCCACCTTGAGCTTGTCCAGAGCGTCAATGCGGTTGATCTTGATGCCGGGAGTGTATTCCATCACCAGCATCTGAGACGTCGTGTACTGCCAGTATATCTTGGGCACCTTCACGTAGTCCATGTCCTTGAAATTCTCGCGGAACCTGTCCGCGTTTTTCCCCTCCTTGGTGTAATCGATTTCCTGTGAGTGGATTGCGGGTGCGGCAGGGGGGGGGAACACACCAGGCCAAGGTGAATTTGGTGCCTTGGAATCCAATCCAATCCAATCCAATCCAATCAAGGCCACCTTTGCTACCTCAGGCACCAACGAGCACCCTCCCTGGCGCCCCTCCTTGAAGGTGTCAACGCACCCCCCCTGCTATGGCCATCAGGTGTCGACATGCAGCAGTTCACTGCAATCAGATCACACACCACGACAATCACACATCACCACAATCACACACCACCACAATCACACTCGCCTCGTAGAGGACTGAGGCGCACTCGTCATAGATGGCCACCCAGTCCCTCTTAGCCCCATCGGACTTGGGATCAATCTTCTGGAGATTGACGGCCAGCACGCGAAGGTTCTTCAAATCAATGTCAAACAGGTCCTTGAGCCCCGGCCGCTGCACCTTCACCACCACCTCACCACCTCCCTGCCTGCCCTACCCTGCACTTTCCGCTCCACACCCTTTCCAGCCCTTACAAGACCCATACAACTGGAATCACACTCACCTCATACAGCACGGAAGCGCACTCGTCATAGATGGCCACCCAGTCCCTCTTAGCCCCGTCCGACTTGGGATCAATCTTCTGGAGATTCACAGCCAGCACGCGCAGGTTCTTCAAGTCGATGTCAAACAGGTCCTTGAGCCCCGGCCGCTGCACCTTCACCACCACCTCGCGCCCCTGCAGCCGCGCGCGGTGCACCTGCCCCAGGCTGGCAGCGGCAATAGGGTCGCGGTCGAAGCGTTCAAACACCTCGTAGATGGGCTTGCCTAGCTCCGACTCTACGATGGCGAGAGCTGTGTCAGACTCAAAGGGTGGCACTTGGTCCTGCGGGGGAGGGATGGGTTGAAGGAGACGGGGAAAGCGGTGAGAGTGGTGAACACTGAGTGGACTCGTAATGCAGTGGGGTCGCGGTCGAAGCGTTCAAACACCTCGTAGATGGGCTTGCCTAGCTCCGATTCCACAATGGCCAGAGCCGTGTCTGACTCAAAGGGTGGCACTTGGTCCTGCGGGCGAGAGAGAGGGGGGAAAGATGGGGGAGAAGGGGGGTGCGAAGCGGTTGATAAGGAGGTGACTTTCCCAGGGGTGAAGACCTGCTGGTCGATCTTGATGAAGGCGGGGCCCAGCCGCAGCAGCCCCTCCTTCAACGCACCGCCCTAATGAGAGAACCCAATCAACCAAACCCTATACAAGGATCTCACCTGCAGCTCTGAGAGCTCTGCAATGTACTCCTGCGCGAGCAAATCCGAGCGCGTGGAGAACTGCTGGCCGATCTTGATGAACGTGGGGCCCAGCCGCAGCAGCCCCTCCTTGAGCCACCGCGCGAGCTCCCGCCGCCGCTCGCCCTTCTTCGCGTCCGTGACTCCGCCGCGGTACATCCACGGGCGGTTGATCAGCCACGCCTGGACACGAGTGAAGGAATGATACGGGGACGAGGACGGGGTGAGGAAAGGTGCTGTGAAAAGACTGCAGATCTTCGTGTGTTAGTCGTGGGTGTTCCCTGATAGGCGTCTTGACCGTCGTATGTTAATAAGAGCTTTTGAGCGTGTTGAGGTAACGGCTTTGCGGTCCGGTTTTATCAACAGGGATAATTGGTTTCGCTTTTCTTTCCGTGTTGCAAATGCACGCTTCCCGCTCAATGTAAAATCATGTGAATTTACCATTGTGCTTTTCCCCTGACACACTCCCATTTTGAACATTACATAGTATCTGAGAGCACCCTATAAAGCGTACCTTGACGAGGAAGACAATAACGAAGCTCCAGATCTCGAAGGTGCGCTGAATGACGGAGTACGTCTTAAAGTGGTTCCATCGCCCGCCTGGCGCCACGGACACCTGTCAGCCCGTCAGCAATGCCACGTCAGAAAACCAGAACGTTATGTTAAAAGCGATGATTAAGGAATCGACCCCCTTCCGGCTTCGACGACACTATGCATCAAACGGGACCCGGTGGACCATGAAGCTACGGACGTCGTGCTAAGAATATTAAGGAAATCACTACTGGCAACGAGAGCCGTTAATAGCGAGGACGAACCTGCACATTGCTAGCGCGAGCCTTCTCGAACCATGGGCGATCCTCAACTGTAAGCTCCTCCACGCCTCTCGACCCTTCGCCGATCTTCTCCTCCACAACAACAGCAGCAGCAGCAGCAGCAGCAGCAGCCACAACGGTATTCGCTGCTCCGTTCGCTGCGCCGTTCGCCGCGCCGTTCTTAACGACCTCTTCAGCCAGAACCATTTTCACTGCGCTTCCGTTGCTGGTCGCGACAACCGTCGCTCCGACGACCTTCGCTTCTGTTCCGTTTGACGCGCTGTAAAGCGCGCGACCGCCTTCTTCCTCCTCCGGAGTCCATGGGGAGGAATTATCGCCTTGTCTGACGCTTCCGTTAGGAGGTGCTTCGATTACAGCATTAACGCGAAGAGCAGGCGATGAGCGTACACGGTTTAGAGACGACCTCGCTGGGAGAAGCAGTCGGCCGGCTGGCGTGCTAAGCTTTCCAAGAAACGGACTCTTTTGAAGGACGAGCCTATTGCGAGTCTGACCATCTCGACGCGAGGAAGAGATGTCACTTGGAGTGCTGCTCGCTGCTCTCACGGAGCAGAGCCCTGAGCGGAGGGCTTGGCTGGTGGAAGCAGCCATTAGAGCTCGAAGTCCGCACACCGATTGGAATACGGAACCTGAGCTATGAGCCAAGTCAAATTAGTAACTGGCTTGGCTTGGTACTTAGAACCTGTAGGTTCCCCTTCGTTGACTCAGCGGCGTCGCTACTGGAGACTCTGAAAATCCCTAGGAACACCGACACAATGCTGAGCAAGTAGCGGAACCTCGAGATTAGAAAGGTGAATCGGGAAGATGGGGTAGATGAAGGATGATGAGAGGATGCTGCGGTGACAAGAATTGCTTGAAAAAAGCATGAAAGCCAGTGTGCGTGCCAGTTCTGATTGCTGGGCAGAGAAATGGTCAGGAACTTTTTTGCCAGTCGCCCGACTTTCAAACCAGTGCGGTCAAAGGGGCGTGCTTCTGCGAGTCGAAGGAATATTTCCAGCTCGAAGGAGTAATGATAGATGACAAGCGGTTTTAGGGCTAGTAAAATGGTTCTTTACGGTGATGAATGAGTTCAACCTGACGATCACGCACCAGAATCGTCTACTGCGCTGTGCCCTCAACAACCGACAAAGTGCTCTGTACTTGGCCAGGCCACCCGGAGCTGTTTTGCCCAGAAACAAATATCAGCCCTAAAGAAAACAATCCTTTGCTCACCCGCGACGCGAGTTTGCTAGGCTGAAAATGAAAACCACATCGCGAGGAGAATCCACAACTTCAGGACATTTTGCGAAGAGGTGGCCACGTGTAGTCGCGATTTGCTCACACGTTCCTGACCACGAAAGTCATGTGCTTAGCTGGAGGGGATGCTGGGGATGGGGGGCGAGGATAAATGCTGAACCCGCGACTTTTATAAAGAATTTTATTAACCAATATACACTCTTCTTAGCATAGAAATGATAATACATCCTAGGAAACACACCCTCATGCTTCTGACATTTGACACTGATCAGAACTCATAACACGACATACACGTGGACGAGGAGTTACCGTTGGCGCTTTTCGGGCCGCGCATCGGCATCTGTCCATGATCACTATATCTCGCTCCGGATTTCCCGCGCTGAAAGCCGCTGCGGCTATCCAGTACCTGCGACGCGATGCTCTCTTAACCGCACATTCCGTATCCTGCGTTGCACCCGCATTTACCAGTACTCGCCTGTCGTTACTCATCAGCCCGCGCGGCTCGAAGCGACTCTTTTTTCGAAGCTTCTGCGTTGCCACAAGCTGTTCAGATTTCCGTCTCTCCCCCTCGTGGCTTTCGTATCCCCATCTGGCTAGTTTGCTCCCGAAATTCACACCCCTTTCCTCAACACCGCCTGAAGTTACTACTTTCAGTGCTATTAGCACTTCGCGGATTGAGGTTCCTCGACACCGGTTGTCTAGTCAGCGCGAAGACCGCTGTGCGGACATGGGTTATGAGGACAGCAGTGCTGGGATCCCAGAAAACCTGCCGGGGGGTGCGGAGGCGGTGGATCGAAGCCAAGCCGGAGCAGGAATCGGATTTGAATCAACGGCCCCCCGTAGCTCCAACGAACTGGATCAACGGCTGGGGGTTCCCGCGCGCGGGGAGTTGGCGGAAAACGGGGAAGCTACTGAGAGGGTCGAAGCTGGGAAGGGGAGGAAGGGGACGAGGATGGGCGAGCGGACAAGCGGGGGAGCGGGAAAGATGGGAGAGGGTGGAGGGGAAGAGGGGAGCGAGGGGAGAAAGGGAGAGAAATTCAGGCGAGTGAAGGAGAGGGGGAATAGGGAAAAGGCTGAAAAAAGGACGAATGGGGGGAAGCACGGGGAACGGGGAGGGGAACGCGGAGGCGGAGGCGGAGGCGGAGGCGGAGGGGAAGGAGCAGCGTTGATGATTCCGGAGTTTCAGGCTGTCGGTGGGGGATCAGGCGCAAGTGGGAAGGAGGGTGAGTGAGGATATGAGTGGATACTTACTGATGTGGTGACTGGAGGTTGCTTATGGGGATGGGTTAAGTGGAGTTTGGGGTTTGGATGGATGTATCAATGTATTCTCTCTCATTGCACCTTCTTCCCTTCCCATCCCTTCCCTTGCCCTTCCCTTTCCTTCCCCCTTCCTCCCCCCCTTCTCCCTCTTGCATTGCTCCCTTCTCCAGGGCTGTCACTCCGTGTCGTCTCCTATAATATCCTGGCGCAGGCATGTGGTGTGAGGGGGTGTCATGGGGTGTCGTGGGGTGTGATGGGGTGTGATGGGGTGTCATGTGGCCATGTGGATGTAACGTGCATCTCTGTGAGCATGTGAATAACCATGTGTATGCCACGTCTTGTGCGTGTGTGTGATCATCATGTAATCATGTCAAATCCATGTCGATGTGCAGTGCATAACCCTCTCACATGTGCGTCATCTGCATAACCCTCTCACATGTGCGTCATCTGCGTAACTCACTCTCTCGCAGGCATACGTCAAGAGTGAGCTTTTCCCACATTCACCGCCACAGTCCCTCAGGTACTGATTTGAAACGTCTTCAAACTCAGTCTCTCAGGTACTGTTGTTGTTGTGAGCTTTTACCGTACGGCAGCAACACATCGCCTTCCTTGCTTTTCCCCCGCCTCCTTACCATTTCCCCCCTTCAATACTCCAACTGTCCCTTCACCAGCAATAATTTCGCATCTCTTCTGCCTAATTTTGAGTTGACTTAAAGCTCATCGCCTTCTTAGCTTTCACTGCCTCTTTGCCATAAATCCTCCCCCATTACTAATCAAACTGTCCCTCCACCAGCAAGAATTTCTAATTTCGACTTCGTACTTTGCTTCCTGTCTCATGCTGAAACGTTCCCTTTCCCAAAAGCGTCTTCCGCCCTCCTCCGTCCCCCCCACCCCCAACCCCCCCGCCCTTCTTGCCACCACCAGGCAGAGGAATCGGTTCAAGGCGCTCCTCACGTTGCTGCCGCCTCTCTCTGCTGACTTCCTCTGCGTTCAGGTGACCCATGGTGGTTTGGTTATCCGTGGTGTTGGTGACTCGTGCTCCCCATTTGCCCCATGCTCTCCCCTCTCCCCCTCCCTCCTCCCGCCCACCAGGCAGAGGAATCGGTTCAAGGCGCTTCTCACGCTGCTGCCAGCCCTCTCTGCTGACTTCCTCTGCGTTCAGGTGCTGTTACCACACATGTTGGTAACCACAGGTTCTGGTAACACAGGTACGAGTGACCTCCACAGATCAGCAGCAGGCTGTGTGGAGACGTCGCAAAAGGCTCACGAATCTTCTCTCTGCTCCGTTTAGGAGTAGAAGTAGGAGGCGGTGTATCGCCAGCCCATGGCAGCAGCACTCTAGTTTTTGGACGTCTCAAAAGCCCCTCTACGTTTTTCTCTCCCGTCATTCCCCCTCCCTTCCCCCCTCCCTTCCCCCCTCCCTTCCCCCCTCTCTCCCCACCAGGAGATGGATGAGTAGGAGGCGGTGTATCGCCAGCCCATGGCAGCAGCACTCTAGTTTTTGGACGTCTCAAAAGCCCACCTACTTTTTTCTCTCCTCTCTTTCCTTCCCCTCTCTCTCTTCCCCAAGAGATGGACGAGTACGAGGCGGTGTATCGGCAGCCTATGGCAGCAGTGGGGTTCTCACACCCCCCTCTTCTTCCCCTCATCCTCCCTTCCCCCCTCTCTCTCCCCACCAGGAGATGGACGAGTATGAGGGTGTGTATCGCCAGCCCATGGCAGCAGCGGGGTGGGAGAGCGTGTATGTGAAGAGGCCGGGCAAGAAGAGGGATGGAAGCGGCATATTTTACAGGTCCAGCAGGTGAGCTGGGAATGAGAGAAAAGCCACTTTCAGATGACTTTTGAGTCGATTCAAAAGGAGAAATTTGGGTCGACTCAAGAGGCCGGGCAAGAGGGCTCAAGGTTGGCTGTATTGAGCTGAATCAAAACATGTGGGGCAGAAGGTGGGAATGTGTGTGTGACCCAGGTTGGCAGTTTTCCGTAGGTTTTCTGTGTGTGACGTGACCCCGTCTGGCTTCCCCGCTTTGGTTTTCGATGGTGCGTTCGCCCTTGTTTTTTTGGCCAGGTTTCGCCTGCTTCGCTCGCAGCCAATCAACTTCAACGACCTGGTCCCCCCTGACCAGCCCGGTCAGCTGGCTCAAGAAGGGACTGCCGTCTCCGACTCGTCTCGATCCCGTGACCAGCTGATTTCTGAGCCACCTCAGGACTCGACTCAGGAAGGCACGGCCACTAACGACGATTTGACCGAGTCTCATGAGTCCCGTGACCTGTGTGATCCGCGTGTTCGCTTCAAGCGTGACTGTGTCGCCATCGTTGCAGCGTTCCAAGAAAGGGTGGCGGAGGAAGCGAAGGGAGAAGAGGCAGAAGGTGGGGAGAGCGTCGCGGGAAGGGAGGGGGTTGGGGAAGGAATGGGGGGGAGCAGAGGAGAGCTAAGGCAGCAGGGAGAGGGGAGGGTGGTGGTGGTGGCATCATCTCACATCTTCTGGTGAGTGGCTGTGGCTTTTTGTGAATGCATGAAAACCAATTGCTGGCATTATCTCTCGTCTTCTTGTTAGTTGCTTGGCGTGGCACCAGCCTGAGAATTTTCTCTTCTTTTCGTGGTAGCTGATCTTCAGTCGCCCACACACGTTGTGCCACACCATACCACTTTATACCACATCACACCACATAACACCACGTCATACCACGTCATACCACGTCGTACCACATCGTACCACACCGTGGCATGCCTTACCTCCATACCGTACCCTACCACACCATGCACAATCCACCATCCCCCCAAGGGATCCAGCATGTGCAGATGTGAAGCTGGCTCAAGCACAGTACCACCATCCCATTTCACCTACATACACACCATCCACTATGTACCATCCCCCGACTCATTCCCCCCAGGGATCCAGCATGTGCAGATGTGAAGCTGGCTCAAGCACAGTACCTGCTGCACCAGGTGGCTCACTTCCGATCCTCTATGGTCACCTCCGCGCACAGTCACACATCTTCTAGTGTCACAAATGCGCCAGGCAGCACACCGGTTACCATCATCTGTGGCGATTTTAACTCCCTTCCCGGTGACCCTGTAAGTTCAAGTCTCAGCCCCTCTATATAGTCCAGTTGCAGGGGTCCCTGATTCTTTATAATCACATCTTGCCTCAGTCACCCATTCTTGTCTACACATGATGATTATTTTAATTTATTGTCACTAACCGCACATCCTGGCGTTTTGCACTAGCTAATGCTAAGTCAACTTCTGAGGTGCCTAGGATGGTACATACACCAATGCTCTCAACTTCCTTCTCACCATCCTATTGAACCCCCCATCTCAGGTGTATAAGTACCTAACATCAGGCCAGGTCGTTCCTGCAACACAAGCAACAGCACCACAGGCAGCAGCAGCGCAAGAAGGAGCAGCAACAGACGCACCTGCATTTTCTTTCGCACCCATACCACTGGCAAGCCTTAATGCCACAGCTGGCAGCATTCTACTGGCTGTTGCACCAGGTGATGCCACAGCAGTGGGAGAAACGGTAGCAGCTGTAGCAGCAGCGTCGGGAATAGCAGGAGGAGAGGCTGGAGAAGCAGCAACAGCAGAAGCAGGGGCAGTGGAATGCGATGGCAAGAAACAGGAGGATGGTGCCTCGGTCTATAAGACAATGAATACTAAGAGAAGCAATAACAGCATGGAAGATATCATAGAGGGGCAAGCTGGGCAAGAGCCAGAGTTAACGACGTTCAATCCCCCATTTTGTGGAGCAATTGATTATGTGCTTATATCGAAGGACGCGGGGCCATTCTCGGTTATGTCAACCTTGTGGCTGCCAAGCAGGGAAGATGCCAGGCTTGGGAAAGGTCTTCCGAACCTGTATTTTCCAAGTGATCACCTTCCTATTGGCGGGGACATTATGTTTGAATAGCAATGTGTTTTTTTTCAGTGATGTATACTTTGCCGAGCTTGTAGTGTCACCATCAAAAGTGGCAAGTAATGTGGTGGAGAATCGTAGTGAATTGTGCACTAATGATAGCCGTTTATCCGGAGGCAAATGGAGTGTACTTGTCTTGTAAGGAAGAGTAACGGCGAAGCTTTTTTTCAAGCGCGCTTGAGCCTGTAAAAGCGAGTCACAAACAAAAAAAAACGCGGGAAAAATGGCGGCCATCTTATCCACAGAGTATTTAGACGGCTTTATGAGCAGTAATGTGGAAGAATGCATCTGGTCAGGAAGCGTGTAGCGTCAATGTGTTGAATCGATGGCTCATATTCCAGCTCAGAAGTCCACCCACTTGTGGAGAGAGCTTATCATTTGGCTTTATACCGTCCAGGTCTAATTATGAACGTTTAGGAGCCCTGTGAAGCGTTCAGCCTCTCGCAGCGGGCAACGACCTGTTCTCGTCGCGGTAATTCAGGTCCTAGACGTTGAATTCCTTCTTAATTCACAGTCGGTGGCGAAGGAAGCGCTTCATTAGTATCCCGCTCGCTCAGACTGACATATTATCACTCATTTTCTCGTATAGCATTCGCGAGGAACATTACTTCCTGATTGCGTCGGCGCGAGAATTTCCTCAATACGACGCATTGACGGTCTAATTCCCCCCTCAAATCATGCCGCTCCGGTCTGTAGCAGCGGCGGCGGCGGCGCTACAACCGCTGTTCCAGCAGGCTGCCGCTACAACCGCTGCTCCTAAAGGCTGTAGCAGAGAGAATTTTGCCCGGAGACGAACACGCTGTAGCAGAGGAGCTTTTATCCGTATCCAGACAAGCTGTAGCGGAGAGGCGTTTGCCCGTAGAGAGAGATGCTGTAGCGATGTAGCTTGTATCCGAACGTCGATCGCAGGCTGTAGCCGAAGCATTTACAGTCTAGACACGACAGGCTGTAGCAGAGCGCGAGGCCGGAGCCGCCGAGGCAGCAGCCTGAACGGCTGTAGCAGCGCAAGCGATGGGAACCGCCGTGACAGCATCAACAGCCTGACCGGCTGTAGCGCAGCTGCTACAGCGGCAGGGGCGGACTCATCGCGCGTGCAGGCCGCGATTGCGTGCGGCGCGGCTGTAGCGGGTGCCGTGCTGGCAGCGGGCCCCGCTCATGCTGCTACAGCCGTCGCTGCAACTGGTGCTGGCGCTGCTGCTGTGACTGCCACCGGTGCTGCTACAGCCGTCGCTGCAGCGGGCGGCGGGCTGTCAGACGGAGCGGTCTGGGCGGTGCTGTGCGCGTGCGCTGCTGGTGCCCAGGTGACTATAAAAGAATAATGTCTTCTACTCTCTCACCCGTGTTTGATCCCAAGTCAGCAGCTGACTTCAATTCTCAGAGTCATGCCGTTCACTCGCTCTTTTTCTCTCTCTTCCCCATGTCAATTCCTCTGCCCCATTCTGCCCCTCAGAATCAAAGCAGCGCTCGTGTCTCTCTCGTCTCTTTCTTCACAGTGTGCCCTGTGTCTTCCCCTCACACCTATCAGCTGTTCGAGCAGCGCACGTCGTGGGGCCAGCAGGTGTCGTCGGTGCTTCTAGCCATGCTGTGACGTCTCCCGTTCACTGTGTTCCCTGTGACGTCTCCCGTTCACTGTGTTCCCTGTGACGTCTCCCGTTCACTGTGTTCCCTGTGACGTCTCCCGTTCACTGTGTTCCCTGTGACGTCTCCCGTTCACTGTGTTCCCTGTGACGTCTTGAGTGTGTGTTCACTGTGCTCTCCCCATCCACCTCTCCTCCCCCCCACCTATCAGCTGTTGGAGCAGCGCACCTCGTGGGGTCAGCAGGTGTCATCAGTGCTCCTAGCCATGCTCGCAGCGGCCGTGCTCGCCTCCCTCTCTGTGCTTCCCACAGCCTCTCCCGTCTATGATTTTGTGAGTGAGCCGCAAAAATATATTGAGCGCACGTCGTAACGTTGGGCACATCATACAAATATCTTCGCAGCCGAGTTGTCTTTTTGTTGGTTTGGTTTTCTTTACTTCCTGAGCTCACGGTTGTGTGAGATTTTCCTTCTTTCTGTGCATGCCAATCAGGTATGGACACGTGTCATGCCCATGGCCGTGGCTCTGGTGCTGTTAGAGACGGATGTGACGTCAGCATTCACACAGTCAGGTGAGGCATATACCATCTCATCCGTGCCACGCTTTTGAGAATTCTCAAAAGTGACTTCCAAGTAGCATATGCCATCTCATCCGTGCCATGCTATGGTGCAGTACCATACAACAAAGTGTCATGAGTTACCGTCACTCAGTGCCACATCATATTTCGATCATGCCATACCATACCATGCCATGCCATGCCATACCATTCCATACCATAGCATATCATGCCATGCTGTTTCGTTTTCCTCCCTCGCCGTATCGCATGGCGTGCGGCTTCTCTCCCCCACTCTCTCCTCTCTCCACTTCCCCTGCTTTCCCACCCAATCAGGTCCCGGCCTGCAAGCTTTCCTGCTAGGCAATTAATGAGACGTCTAAAAATCGTCTCTCTCCTCTCCCCCTCTTCCTGTGCCTTCCCCCTCGAATCAGGTCCCGGCCTGCTAGCTTTCCTGCTAGGCGCACCAGGCACGATTGCAGGGACACTTGAGACGACTTTTTAGTCGACTCAGAGATCATCTTATGACATGGCAAACGCCCTACCTCCCCCTCTCTCCTTCTCCCCATCAGGTCCCGGCCTGCTAGCTTTCCTGCTAGGCGCAGCAGGCACGATAGCAGGGACACTTGTCGGCTTCTCATTGGCCGGGCCGTCCTTAGGAGTGGAGGGGTGGAAGGTGGCGGCTTGCTTCTGTGCGACTTACATTGGGGGGAGCGTGAATTATGCAGCCACTGCTAAGGTGAGATGAGGAGCAGGGGAGAGACATCGGGAGAGTTTGTTAAGAGAGTGGAGTGGAATGGAAGGTGGCGGCTTGCTTCTGTGCAACGTACATCGGAGGGAGTGTGAACTATGCTGCCACTGCTAAGGTGAGATGAAGAGCAGGGGAGAGGAAATGAGAGATGAGAGTTGAGTGCAAGTCACTTGTGGAATGGAAGGTGGCGGCTTGCTTCTGTGCAACGTACATTGGTGGGAGCGTTAACTATGCTGCCACTGCTAAGGTGAGGTGAAGAGGATGGAGAGACTATGGGAGAAGAGAGTTGAGTTCAAGAACCTTCTCGTAGCCGCCTCGCCTACTCTCGCTACTCTCAGTCCCTCTGCCCTCTCGTAGCCGTCCCTCTCCCTGCATCTCCTTTTCTCTCCTGTTCGTCTCTCCTCACATCCTCCAGGCTCTGGGAATGGACATCACAACACGTGCAGCAGCAGCAGCCAGCACAGGGGCCAGTCTGCTCACAGCAGGCATGGCAGTTGGCAATCTCCTCATGGCCGCTTACTCCCCCCTGCTCTGTTTACCTTTCTCCATGCTCTCTCTCTGCTTCTTTTCAGGCTCTAGGCATGGACATTAGTGCAGGAGCAGCAGCGGCCAGCACAGGAGCCAGCTTACTGACAGCAGGCATGGCGGTGGACAATCTCCGCATGGCCGCTAATTTCACCGTGCTCGCTGCTCTCCCTCCTCTCCCACCACCACACACCACAGGCTCTAGGCATGGACATCACAGCAGGGGCAGCAGCGGCTAGCACGGGAGCGAGCTTACTAACAGCAGGCATGGCGGTGGACAATCTCCTCATGGCCGCTTACTTCTCCGTGCTAGCTGCTCTCCCTGACTCTTGGCCCAAGCCGTGGGGTGGGGAGCGGTGGGGAGGGGTGAAGCTGGGAGGTGATCTCGACTCGGAGATACGGCCAGATACAGGGCTTTCTGCTCCTCTCCTCCACTCCTCTTCGTCTCCCTCCTCCTCTCCTTGCTCATCCTCCTCTTCTTCCACTTCTTCATCGTCGCACTCCCCTGCTCCTCTGCCTGCTCCCTCCTCCTCCTCGTCCTCCTCATCCCTCACTCACTCTCCACCCACCGCCCCCTCGGTAGAGTCCCTCACTCTCTCCATAGCCGCTGCCGCCTCAGCATGCGCGCTAGCAGACAAAATTGCCGTCCATCTGCCGCCCGTGATGGCCTCGGCACAGCTGGCGCTCGCCGCCCTGCTGGCCTCCCTCCTGTCCACTGTAGCCGCCAGGCTGACAGGGCGGGGCGAGAAGAGACAGGACGGAGAGGAGAAAGAAGGAGGGGAGAAAGAGGAAGGAGAGGAGGGAGAGGACGGAGGTTCACTGTTCACAGGAGCTGAGACGCTTGGGAACGCCCTAATGCTGGTCTTCTTTGCAACTGTAAGCCCATAACCGAGCAAGTTAATAGTCGCCCTTTCCTTTATGGGCTTTTATCAGCATTTTCCAGGCACCCTTGAGATGGCGAAAGGCCATAGGATTAAGCTAGCACGCGTGTTGGTGCTACCTAATCCGTCTTGACCATTTAACTGTCTTTTACCCTTGCTCTGGCAGATAGGAGCGTCAGCAAGTGTGTCTGAAGCCATGTCTGCTGGTGGTGGCCTGCTTGCATTCGTTGCGACTGTGTTAGTGGTATGACAGACTGCTGCGGATGGTTTGTGGTGGCTTCTAGTAACTGTACTTCACAGGAGTCATTCTTTCTAATAAAGGTTGCAATTTTCTATGTTTGTTTTGTTCTGTTTTGTTCTGTTTTTGTTTGTTTGTTTGTTTGTTTTTTGCTCATTGGTCTCTGCTCTCTCGGTTTCCCTTCATTCACTCGTATGCATCTTAAGCTTTTCACTTTTCCCCTTTTTCTGATCCTTGCTGCACGGTCCACCTGTCACTTCGGGTTCACATTGCAGTCGTTCTTCTAGGGGGACGCTTGAGTCGACTAAAAAATCCCGCTTCTGCTTTTTACTCCAATCTTACCACCCCCGCCACATCAGGTTCACATTGCAGTCGTTCTTCTAGGGGGACGGCTCCTCAACATTCCACTCGATATCGTAAGTGCAGCATGTTTCTTTCCCCCCTCTAGGCAGGCTTTTCTTAGCGCGTGTGCTCTCACTCCTCGCTTATCTTTTTCGGTGCCAATGCTTCTCTCCCGCGTCCCTTCTCGCCTCCCCATTATCAGCTAATGGTGGCACCGAACACAATGTGGGGGGGGGATAGGGGTTGTGGGAGTTGTTTCATGCCTGCCCACTGCTGCTTCGGAACTCCTCAAAACCTCCCTTTCCTCTCTTCCGTACTCCCCCATCCCTTCCCGACTCTGTCTCATCAGCTAGTGGTAGCATCCAATGCCAATGTGGGGGGGGAGGGGTTGTTTTGGGGGGGGAGGTTCTGCCACTGCTGTTTCAAGACACCGCATAGCCTCCCTTCCCTCACTGCCCATCTGTTCCATCCCCTCACCTCTCCCTCCCATCAGCTAATGGTAGCATCCAATGCCAATGTGGGGGGTCCTGCCAAAGCTGCTCAAGATGCCTCCTAAGCTCCCTTCCAATTCTTCCCGTCTTCCCCATCCCGTCTCCCTCCACCCATCAGCTAATGGTAGCATCCAATGCCAATGTGGGGGGTCCTGACATGGCTCTTAGAGATGCCTCATAAGTCATACCCTACACTGTGTTACTTCCCGTCTTCCCCATCCCCTCTCCCTCCCCCCATCAGCTAATGGTAGCATCCAATGCCAATGTGGGGGGTCCTGCCACGGCTGCTGCTATGGCCAGTGCCCGTAATTGGCCCCAACTGGTGAGTCCAGCTTCAGTGTTTGGAGCTCCTGTTTTGAAATGAGACTCCACAAGTAGCCTTTAGATGATAAAAGGTGCACTCCTCTAGATTACTTAACCGTCATTCCCTTTCGCCTCCCCATGTTCAAGAGCAATAAGCACTGTTTCAGCCCAAAACAACAAACATAATTTCCCTGTTGATGATTCTTTGAATTTCAGGTGCGCCCTGCGGTGTTGCTCGGCACATTTGGCTACACCATTGGAACGGCCATTGCCTTTTTGCTCGGAATCAACGTGCTACAGCCCATGGCAGCAGCTGCTCTTGCTAAAGTACTGTGAAGTGAATTGCCAGCACCATTAAGTGCTTTTTCTTTAAAAAGAACGCATGCCATGCAGCCTACAATTCTGTGTTTTGTGTCAGTGACAAAATGATGTCCTGGCCGTTTTGGTTCGTGTAAAAGAAGCAGCCTGGGGCACCTGCAAATTATGCAAATTATGCAACGAAAATCTACAAAATGGGGTGATTAATCACAACATTACATAACGTAGCCAAGCGTTGATATCCTCCAAGTGCACGCATTACCTAAGAATTAGTATCGTCCATCGATACTTCAGTAGCCTGGTACTGTACGTCTAACTGTCAAACTATATGTGTTGCATATTGTTTAGGCTGTAGTGGGGTAGCCCATATGGGGTACAACCCAATTAGGGTTTACTACTTGTACTCCTGCATCCTGTTAGTTCATTCATTCCTGCTGCTAGATTCTAACATGGTTTCAGAGCACTAAGGTCCGTAGGACCGTTTTTTTCGGGCCCACCTACCGCTGCGGTTACCGCGCTACCCCACGTACCTGCCTGCCTTGCCTTGCCTTGTGACGTGCTGCACATGCGCTGCCTCCTGCTGCCCTAGGCCAGCGCGCTGCCCCTAGAGGCCCGTAAGGCCCGCGCGCCGCCTCTACACGCCCGTCAGGCCCGCACACAGCCCCTGCAGACCGTTAAGCACACTGCTGCCGCGCGCTGCCCGCACCGAGTCGCGCGCAGCCCGCTGCAGCCGCGCGCAGCCCGCACCGAGCCGCGCGCAGCCCGCTGCAGCCGCGCGCAGCCCGCACCGACCCGCGCGCAGCCCGCTGCAGCCGCGCGCAGCCCGCGCCGAGCCCACGCAGCCCGCGTCGAGCCGCGCGCGGCCTGCTACGGCCTCGCGAGGCCCGCGCGCGGCCCGCAGCAGCCCGCGCCGAGCCGCGCGCGGCCTGCTACTGCCTCGCACGGCCCGCGCGCGGCCCGCAACAGCCCGCGCCGAGCCGCGCGCGGCCCGCTACTGCCTAGCGCGGCCGCGCGCGGCCTGCATCAGCTTAGCGCGCTGTCAGCGCAGCCCGCGCCGAGCCGCGCGCGGCCCTCTGCCTCGGCCCCGACCTGCCGCTGATGCGGCCCCGCCCTGCAGCTGCCACGGCCCCGACCTGCCGCTGATGCGGCCCCGCCCTGCAGCTGCCACGGCCCCGACCTGCCGCTGATGCGGCCCCGCCCTGCAGCTGCCACGGCCCCGACCTGCCGCTGAAGCGGCCCCGCCCTGCAGCTGCTTCGGCCCTGCTCTGCAGCCGGTGTTGCGGCCCCGACGTCGCCGCTGTCGAGCGCCGGCCCTGCTCGCCCGGTGAGCGCCTGCTCTCCCAGCCTTTGGTGAGCGACTGCCTGCCTGCCTGACGGCCTGCCTGTCTGCCTGCCTGCCTGGCTGCCTGCCTGCCTGCCGGCCTGCCGGCCTGCCTGCCTGCCTGCCTACCGGCCTGACTGCCTGCCTGCCGGCCTGCCTGTCTGTCTGCCTGTCTGCCTGCCTGCCTTCCTGCCTGCCTGCCTGCCTGCCTGCTTGCCTACCTGCCTGCCACGCCTGCCCTGCCCGCGCTGCTGCTGCTGCTACTGCTACTGGCAGGTGGCCAGATGCAGCTCCAGCGACGTTCACGCGAGCCTCTCACGCCCCAGCAGCTTAGTGAGTGGTATACTAGCTGGGGTTGTCGCGGTAGCCGTCGTAGCTGTCGCCCTGGGGCTGGTCAGTTGGGAGCGTCTAGCAGTGGCCAGCTGCAGCTGCAGGGGCGTCCACGCGAGCCACTTACGCCTCGGCAGCTCCAGGAGTGGTACGCTCAGTGTAGCAGGTCTACCCGTACAGTTCGCTGCCCGTACGTCATTCGCACAGGTGCTAGGACTGGTCAGCCTTGTGGGACGCTTGGTCACACACAGTCCCGCTGCTTCGCCCGTCTGAGCGACGCCTGGCGCACAGTGTTTGGCGACGAGGCTGAGCTCCCCACCTGGCTGGAGCTGCATGGACAGAGGGTAGATATCTTTGCGCTTGACTATGATGCTATTCTCACTGCCATGTATGCCTTGTCTACTAGTGCTGACCGTGCCTGTTACCTGTGCGTACCGCCTGACCCTGGTGAGGCTGCTGCCCTAGGTGCTAGTGCGTCTCCTACTCTAGGTGCTGGTGAGGCTGCTGCTCTCGGTGCTAGTACGTCTACTGCTCTAGGTACTGGTGAGGCCGTGGCTTCAGGTGCTGGTGAGTCTGCTCTCTCTGGTACTGCGCCCACTGCGGTCTCGCACACCTTCACCCTTGACTCAGGAGCTTCTCGCTCCTTCTTTCGCGACTGCACCGCACTCACGCCGCTCAGTCGGCCAGTCCCGGTCTCCCTGGCGGACCCCTCTGGGGGTCCAGTCATTGCCCACCACTCCACGGTTCTGCCGTGTCCGGCCGTCCCGTCTGGCTTCCTGTCAGGTCTTTACCTCCCCTCGTTCTCTACGAACTTGGTGAGTGGAGCTGACCTCCAGGATGGGGGGGTTCACCAGTTCACTCCTGCGAGTCAGCGAGTGACTCACTGTACGTGTGCTAGGACGGGCCGGCACTTGGCCACGTTCACCCGTGCACCTGGCTCGAGTCTGTACACACTGACCACTGAGTCCCCTCAGGTAGTTGCGTCTGCGTCTACGTCTGGTCAGCAGGCGGCCCCCTGCGAGTGTCGCGCTTTGTCGCACGATACTCTCCTGTGGCACCACCGCCTTGGTCACCCCTCCTTGCCTCGCCTGCGTAGCATGCACTCTCGCTCCCTGGTCTCTGGTCTCCCCAGGTCTCTGCCTGCCCTCCCTCCCTCGCCTGCGCCGCCCTGCATTCCTTGCGTCGAGGGGCGGCAGCGCGCCGCTCCTCACTCCTCCTCGTTTCCTCCCACAGAGGCTCCACTGCAGACGCTCCACCTGGACGTGTGGGGCCCAGCCCGCGTCCAGGGACAGGGCCACGAGCGGTACTTCCTGCTGGTTGTCGACGACTACACGCGTTACACCACGGTCTTCCCCTTGCGGAGCAAGGCGGATGTCCCTGCTGTTTTGATCCCCTGGATCCGCGCAGTTCGTCTCCAGCTCCGCGAGCGGTTCCGGTCGGACTTTCCTGTCCTGCGTCTGCACTCTGACAGAGGTGGTGAGTTCTCCTCCAACCTCTTGGCAGCCTACTGTGCGGAGCACGGCATCGCCCAGTCGTTCACGCTTCCGGCCTCTCCGCAGCAGAATGGGGTTGCTGAGCGCCGCATTGGCTTAGTCATGGAGGTCGCTCGTACCTCCCTGATCCATGCGGCTGCCCCCCATTTTCTGTGGCCGTTTGCAGTCCGGTACGCCGCGCATCAGCTCAACCTCTGGCCCCGTGTCTCCTTGCCGGAGACCTCGCCCACACTGATGTGGACGGGGAAGGTTGGCGATGCGTCGCGTTTCCGGGTCTGGGGTGCTCGTGCCTTTGTCCGCGATACCACCGCGGACAAGCTCTCCGCCCGCGCTGTTCCCTGTGTCTTCCTTGGCTTTGTCCCTGACGCGCCTGGTTGGCAGTTTTACCACCCCACCTCACGCCGTGTCTTTGCGTCTCAGGACGTCACGTTCGACGAGTCGGTTCCCTTTTACCGTCTCTTCCCCTACCGCACTGCCTCGCTCCCCCCCCCGCCGCTCTTCCTCGCTCCAGGTGCTCCCCAGGTAGACCCCCTCCCCGCTCCCGGTCCTGCTCCTTCAGGTGTTTCTCAGGTAGACCCTCCTCCCTTGACTGCGCCGGTTGAGGTCACTGGTGACTCAGGTCCTACTGAGAGTGGTCCTGCTCGGGGTGCTACTTCTGGGGGTGCTGAGCCTAGGGGTGCGGAGCCTGGGGGTGCTGAGCCTGGGGGTACTGAGCCTGCGGGTGCGGAGCTTGAGGGTGTAGAGCCTGGTGGTGCTGAGCCTGAGTGTGAGGGGTCTGGGGGTGCTGAGCTTGGCGGTACTGACGCTGGAGGTTCTGGAGCTACTGAGGGTGCTGGCGCTGGAGGTTCGGGAGCTGCTGGAGGGCCTAGTACTGGTGGCGCTGGAGCTGGAGGTTCTGGAGCCGCTGGAGGTACTGGTGCTGAGGGTACTGACACCGGAGGTTCTGGAGCCGTTGGGGATGCGGGCGCTGAGGGTTCTGAGTCTGCTGTTGCGCGGTCTCCTTGGAGTAGCCGCCTTCGTCCACGTGTGCCTCTCACACCACAGCAGCTGCAGGACTGGTACGGTCGCCGTCAGCGTCGCGCTGCTGGAGCTAGGAGTGGTGCTGGTCCTTTGTCTACTGGAGGTGCTGGAGTCGCTGGTTCTGGAGGTGCTCGTGCTGGAGACACTGAGGCTGGAGACCCTGGGACTGGAGGTGCTGGTTCTGGGGGTGCTGCTGCTGGAGACACTGAGGCTGGAGACCCTGGGACTGGAGGTGCTGGGTCTGGGGGTGCTGCTGCTGGAGACACAGAGGTTGGAGACCCTGGGACTGGGGGTGTCGACTCTGGGACTGGAGCTTCTGGAGCTGCTGGAGGTACGGGAGCTGCTGGAGGTACTGGAGCTGCTGGAGGCACTGGAGCTGCTGGAGCTGCCGGTACTGGTGCAGCTGCGCCGACACGACTGTTCTTCGCTCCGCCGTCTCCGTCGTCTCTGCCGCCGCCTGACTCTGCTCTTCGTCAGGTTGTTACTCTCCCGTCGTCTACTGGTCTTCCGTTACAGACTGGCTCACCGCTACCTGCTCCCTCTCCTTACACTGAGCAGACAGGCAGTCCTGCTACGCGTCGTGAGCCTGCGTCGCGTCCTGTCTCGCCTGTTCGTTCTGGTCGTACCGTTCGTCGTGTCGCTCGTGCGCGTCAGCCGGCTGTCCCCAGCGCACACCTTGTTGTCCGTCGTCCTTCCTCTGCTCCGCAGCCTGTTCCTCTGCCGTCTCCCCCTGCGTCCTCTCTGCCTGCCGTTCCGGACCCTGAGTCTGACCGGTTTCGTACTGAGCACCCTACTGTCACGCGTCTCCTAGCCACTGTTGTCACTGACCCGTCGTTTGAGTCTACTGTTGCGTC